TCCACCCTTTCTACTAAGATTCTAGTGTCTTTCTTGGCTTGTTGGAAAGCAATCCTGTTTCGCTATGGCTCAGGTCTTCTGCAGGCGCATCATACTGCTGACGGTCTTCGCCTGCTGTTGCGTGGTACAGCAGCTGCCTCTATAGGCAGAACTGTTCTGGAACCTTATCCCCCCAAAAGGCTTTGGAAAAAGAACTGCCGGTAGTCCTGATCCAAACAGGGTTTGCGGCAATGCCAGCGTGCGCCCAACATGTTGCAAGTTTCTCTAATCCGCATGCTGACTTCTGAGTAGTTTGACAGAGGGTCAAGAGCGCGACTAGTGTAGAAAGATATTGAGTGACTGGGATTCTGCCAAGCTAAATTTATTTTTTACACTAAAAATGCAGGCCCCAACACCATGATAAAATCCGGGTATCAGGTTGCGAGTAATACTGTACTTTCCTGGATGTCATCAGTCTTCCGAAGGCAGGTCAACAGAGCCACCCTTGCCGCTGTGGTGCCACCAAGCGTGGTTCTGCTGCTTGTCTGAACCAACTGCACCAGCGGCTGAGGATGTATAATTGTGGTCACACCTTGTATCACCTTCACGAAACTCAAAGTCAAAGGCCATGAAACTCTTGGCTCCAGCATTTCAAGTTGGCAAACAAATCTAGAAGGTGATATGATCTGGGTCTGCTCAAGCAAGTCAATTTTAGGACAATGGGTGGCACTGCTCAGAATTTGAACTTCAAGTGAAGAAAGAATAGACATGATCCTCTGGAAGCTTTCCGCTCCAAACCTGCTTTCCCACTGACTTTGGCTGCTCCATCCCCAGCGTCTCAATCTTTTAGCTCATCTCAGGTGAAGATGCTGCGATTTGGCCTTGGGAGTTTTTTGCCGATAGCGTGCGCGTTGCAGATGTGGTTGCCATTGAGGACTGTTACTTGGCGAAGGACTATGTTTTTCTATGACATGTCTGACATGTAGCTGGATGGATGCTGGCCTTAGGTGATGTGCTTTTTTTGCCTCGTGCCGTTGGGATCCCCAGTTGACGGTTGATCCCCCAGGAAAGTGACATTTCTTTGGATGGTACTTAAGCGATCTTAAGACTTTCAAAATTCTCCACTACCTGCTTGGCTTGTCAGATCAAACATGGACACAGTACATACAGTACTTTGATGTCCCTTCGAGGCTATGATTTAGGAAGGACAAAGATGATTGGCGGTTGGATTTGTCTGATTTCTGCTATGACCTTTTGCATCTTCTGCTACTTGGGCATTTTTTCTGAGGAGTGCAGCGTCTTGCCCATCGGCAGCGACATGGTTCGGAGCTGTTTCAGTCAAATTGTTGCTCTGAAATCCTCAGGACCGGAGGTGCGCCAGAGCGATACATGGGGCCCTGGGGTGCCCTTCAAATGGCATTTTCATTGGGAAAATGATGATCACCTCTGATAAACCATAAGATTCATATATATATATATACATACATATGTTATACATATACACATTCATATATATATACACTATATATTCTTTTTTGGTACCTTATTTTCACGGACAAACCCGGATGGTCAGATCCGGCTGTGTCACAGCCCACTTGAGATGATGTCGACAGCTGGGAGGCTGTGCTCCGACGTCGGGCGCTGTTGGTGCCAAATTCCCCATTGATACAGGCAAGAAGGGTTCAAAGAAGCAACAAACATCTAAAAAACAACACCTCCAACACTTCCAAATTTGAGGGACACGTCTTTCTGTTCAGATGCAGCAAGGATCACATGAAATGCCGCCTGTTGTGCCAGGCACAGGAGGAGTACTGGAGCAAACTTATGCAGATGGATCGTGATGTTTCGAACAAGATTTCACAACAGTCACTTGGATTTCGCTGAATTTCAGTTAAGAGTTGAAGATGTTGGAAGATGTTTGTGAAATGAGGCTGATGTCCTCGAAATCCAGACAAGTTTGCTTCATAGGATGAAATTGTGAGCTGTTTGGCTGTAGTTCAGAAGCCTCAGGTTGATCTCTCTACCTTCACTGGAGCCTCAAAGGAGTGGAACGGGGATGGGAATCCGGTAATCCCAAACAAACGTACCTGCACACCGGAGCCGAAAAGAAACAACTGGGTTGAAACTATTTATCCTTTTTCTACCAGCTTTCATATTTTTAAAAGATGTTTTCAAGTTTCCAGCCTGAGATGGACATTTTATCTCTTTGTCTACAGGCCTCTGGCGCTGGAAGCAGGCACGACCTTGGCGACAGAACTTTGGCAATGCTTGACGCAACATGCAAGTTGGCATATTTGACAATAATGCCCGGGAATTTCTGACATCTAGAAGCTATGGCCATTTTAGTTTTAAGTTTGAACACATTTGAACATCTTCCTCAGCCTATGGCAGGTGAACATCCCTATCACCCAAGCCCACCAGGCCAGAGAGGGCTCAACAGGTACTGAGGTGGTTGGTAGTTTGGCATGAATAGATGTCCAATTTCTCTATTGCAACATGCTCTTGGTACAGTCAAGATCATGGGCCTTAGGTTCATCATGGACCATTTACCTTTGATAGTCATTTGTAATGGATATATATATATATATATATCTATAATATAATATACATACACTGTAACTCTTGTTCAACCAGTATAGCGTGTAGCCAGTGCTGACTTTGATAGGCCTCCCTTTTGCAACACGAGCAAACCACTGTGGAGCCGCATCAGGAAGCAACAATGCGAGCATACGTCCAGGCAGTGGATCCAAACGCTGGAGAGTGGGATACTACATGAGCATTCAGTGGTAATTCCAGAGGTAGAAATCAACTGCTGAATGCCTATTCAAACATATTCTATCTCTTTACAGAATCTACATCTAATATCATCTAATATCCATATCACGTTTTGTGTTGAAGCCGTTGCAGTTCGTCCACTTGGATGTCGCAGGTGCAAGCACCAGCTTCTCAGGCAGGGTTGCAGATTCTTTCCATTTGCATATTTAGTGAATTTAGTGGTGTGTTTTTTTATTCAACCTGGTTTAACCTTGTTTCTAGCGCTGATTTCACACCTTCCACTGCTTCCACGCTGGTTTTCGTCGAGTCGTGTAGTGCAGCATGCCCGAGGCATCGAGGTAGCATCTCTGATGAGGATACCCAGCTGCGAGTTGGAGGATTGGGGTGATCTTGGTTCCCAACGTGTCTTGCTGAATTTTTAGAGTTGCAGATGATCAGATTGGCCATTTTCATATTTTTCAATATTTTTCATTCATTTCGGTTGCCGTATGGCGATCTTGGAGCTGTTTGGAGCGGATGTTGAGTGGGGAAGCAATCGAAGCAATCGTTCGCGCTGAAGGAGGAGGACGTCGGGGTCAACCAGTGCTACGCCTATGGAGCAACTTGCCATACTGGCTTGTAGTCGTCACGTCACCATTTGTTGTTGGCAGCAGCATCAGCATCACACCGGCAGCAGTTGCACCTCAAATTGTTCCTCCTTTCTTTGCGAACCGTTCATTGAGGCCATTTTAGATTGGGCAGAAGGTATGACTCGGTCATTGCTGCCAGGAGCGACTGGGAACAGTTTCGATCAAGGGTTCAATCATCGCAATCCCAGAGAATTTGAATCACAAAAGCCTGGCAGTCGCAATTGCGCATATCCGCACTGTTTGTGAGATTTGCTAAGATTGCCAAGATTCTTTGGCACCGAAAAAACAGGTTTAAGGATGTTTAAGGTAAAACGTTGCATGGTGACTTGGCAACGCTTTTTCAACGCAGGCATCCATGGAGCGCTGAGGTGCGCTCACATGGTGCGCGCAAAAACGTTGTGGCCCCTGGGTCTTAAATTTGACCCACAGCCACGTAGAATGCGTTCACTTTTCCCACAGTTAAGATTCAGGTGCTGGAATATCACTGAGATCACCAGCAAGAATTGAGGTAGCTAGACACATAGACAGATAGATACATCCATACATATATAATATAGTATGTATATATATATATAACATGTAGTATGTATATATATATATAAATACATAGTGTATATATATATATATAAATGGTATAGCAGATAGATGATATCCAAGAAAATCGATGCGGCCAGGCCAGCCTTGCAACTCCTGCCACGGCGCAAGCGGCAGCAGCTGGGCCCCTGTACCCAGTTGCTCCAGCTGTGTCCCGGGCAGCTGCTTCGACATCCAGGTGTGGAGTCGAAAAAAGTGGGTGGAAAGTGATTTGGGGATGGGTCAAAACCCTATCCCCTGGTAAACATCAAAATAGCTGGTAAATGGATGTTCATCCCTCTAAAAATGGTATTAATAGGTATTGACTCATAGCCATTTGCCATTTTTTTTGGGGTCGTCGTCATGGGTCATCATTTTTTTTTCTGAGTTTTGATGATGTAAATTTGGATCTATATAGCTATCATGGGAAATATCCCAACTTAGGGTTGAAATCGCGTAGTTGTAGCCATGAATTGACCCCAACTGCACCTCCTACTAAATCATATTCCAGTATCTTCCCACTAAAGTCCATGAAATCCGATTCCATTCTATTCAGTCCCACTAAGTCCCATTAAATCCTATTCAATCCCTACTAATTTCTATTAAAACCCATTGTATTTTCACTATAGTATCCCCCTCAAAATCCCCATGAAATGGTCCCCGAGCCAGGCCGACAGAGCATCAAGGTGCTCTTGAGCGGCGAGCTGGGACATTTCGAGGCGCGCGCATCAGTGATCCGCGGGGAAAAGTCGTAGGTCTTGAATGGTCCTGAGGCTTGACCTATATTGGCATATGATATACATATATATATATGATATATATATACATGTATAATATATATATATATACACATGTCTATACAATATGTCAATATCTATCTATTTTATCGATCTATCTATCTATCTCTATATATATACATATATAATGATATATATTATGTATGAATAGTCCTATCTATATATGTTTACATATTGCTGACTGTAAACATCGAAACTCCACAAAGGCGCTGACCCCATGGATTCTCCAGGCCTCGCGAGATCTTCAGCTGCCCAGAGCCATGTTGAAGGCGATGCCCACGGCCGTGGAACGTCGCTTTCTGTCCCAGGGGATTCCCATCACGGAGCATGTGGTGAACTCAGAGATGGGAAGATGTCCGGATTGTCAGCGTAGATGTCTACTCACTAGGCTTTGGGTGTATAAGTACATATATATAATATAATATAATATAATATAATGTAATATAATATAATATAATGTAATGTAATGTAATGTAATATAATATAATATAATATAATGTAATGTAATGTAATGTAATATAATATAATATAATGTAATGTAATGTAATGTAATATAATATAATATAATGTAATGTAATATAATGTAATGTAATGTAATATAATATAATGTAATGTAATGTAATATAATATAATATAATGTAATGTAATGTAATATAATATAATATAATGTAATGTAATGTAATGTAATATAATATAATATAATGTAATATAATGTAATGTAATGTAATATAATATAATATAATGTAATGTAATGTAATATAATATAATGTAATGTAATGTAATGTAATATAATATAATGTAATGTAATGTAATGTAATGTAATATAATGTAATGTAATGTAATGTAATATAATGTAATGTAATGTAATGTAATATAATATAATATAATATAGATTAGAGAACATTTATAATTTGTATAACTATTTGCCAAGATAGCATCTGGGGATGCTTCAGCGAGGCCAAAGGCTGGCTGCAGGACCTGGCATTGGACCATGCTGATGCAGAGGATCCGGTGGCCCCGGGTGCCTTGAGCCGCGGCCCCAATGCTGAAAAAACTGAAGATCATGCGGTGTCATGAAGAAAATATATGGGTTTCGGGGATCATGACACCTATGAAACCTATGATTTATGATTTTTCCTCTATGAAGTTATGATAATTTATGACTGTTCCCGACTTCGACGGACCCATTTCCAGCACCGTGCCACCCATGCCGGCACCCAGGTGGCCTGGCTGATGCTGTGCTTCAGGTGGCCCAAAGACGTTTCAAGGAGACCATCCGATGTGATGATTCGATATGAACAGCTTGGTGTTAAAGCTGTAAAGGCACAGTGTTCCATCAAGGTTCACCCCTGAGGAGTTTAGACTGCTCTTGGCGAAAGTCTCTGTTTATTTTTGTTTTCAAAGATGCCAAGGGGCTTGCCAAGTACAGGCAGCTCGTTTTCGGAGGAGCTGAAATGTCCTGGGGAAGATGTTCGAAGCTTTGTGAGCAGTGCGCGCGGGTTCCCAAATGGAAAGTGCCACAAAGGAATCTTCACACGTGTGACCTGCCTTTATTCCATTTTATTCCTCTAAAGCTTTCGCCCCAAATACCTTTCTAGTTCGAAGGTAATTCTACGTTCAGAGCCTTCAGCAGTGCTGTCCTCTTGAGGTTTTTGGACCGGAAGCTTCTTGGAGAAAAAGCAGTTTGGGTGGAAAAGGAGTCCTGGTATCCGAACGATCAAATACTTTTCGCCTAGACTGCAGTACGTCAAATGCCAATCACGATCTCAATCCCTTAAACGAAACGTGGCAAGATTTCACCAATGTATCCAGCAATGAAGATCATAATGCTACTGATATAGCTAAGAATAATGATTCATGATGATTATAGCAATGATACTGATTATGATACTGATGATGGTGATAAGAAACAGCAATAATCGCAAATGATATCTATATCCCAATCATAATTATAATATATTATAATCATCATTTTATAATAATAATGATATCATAATAATGATATCACAATAACCATATCACTATAGTATTATGATATCCACTCTTCAGATCTCATGACATTTTCAGCTCCCAGCCATGGGTCGCACCAGGACCTCGAGCTCCTGGCGATGCGAAGGTCTGCAGGCTGGATATCCCAGAGATCTCAGGGCGAACTGCACATGTTCCAGGTTGGCCCAGCGAAGGTCATTGGGAATATGTATGTGTAGGGATTATATAGCATATACATCGTATACATATATATATATATTTACCTATACATACATATATGTGTATGTGCATATATATATATACATACACTGTAAATATGTATATAATTTTCTATGATACATAGATCTGTCTATATACATATGTATACACACATAGATATATGTATGAGTGACAACACAGTTTAATATGAGAGCCCCAACATTGCAACCTTTAGGGCGGGTAACCGCCCCACTGGTCTCCTTTTATGAGGCGCCCTGGCGATCCAGACTTTATCGACAGAGGTGGGGATGTCTGATTTTCCTTGCAAGAACTTTGCATTGTGGCGATGTAACATATGGATATCATGGGAATTTAATGGGGATATCATGGGATATATAGTTGATATGATTTTTGGATGTGTCTGAAGCTGGGGTATATCGAACATGATGATTATCCAATGGATGGGATGTGGAACAGTATTTTCAGACAAACCTATCAACGATATCTTAGACATGTGGCAGAAGAACCCCATAGGAATGTTCCACTTGTTCTTGGCAATGCGGCAATGCTTTCAACCTAGCTTTACCAGCAATAGCCACGCTTTGGTTCCGTGAACGGACAAGACTGGCTAGCCATCAGCACCCGCTTTTTGTGTCCGACCTGTATTCTGCGCCCCCATGGAGGCCTATGTTGACATCTCGGAGATTGGTCAGATGAAACGAGTCTACAGGTGGGACAATACCGCGGATGAACAGAAATGGCATGAATCAGTACGCGAAATCATTCTGCAAATCCATATTTCATCTCTGTGAATCGAAAGGGAGGGGACAAAGTGTGCGTCAAATTTAGCGCAGAATGATGCATGATCGCATTTGCGTTTCAGCTATAAATCTGGGAGCGCTCGGAGCAGCACAAGAGAGAGACGCAGTCCTTTGGCGAACCATGCTTGAACATCAATCTGATTTGGTATGGTCGTTGCCAAAACTGCGTGCTTCAAGGACAGAATTGACAGAATTTCCAAATTTTGATGCAAAGCCCAAAATGTGGTAGTTATTCATGGCCCGCGATCGGCCGTCACATTGGCACTTGTCCTGGTACCTACAGTAGTGAAGTGGTTGACATGGTATAACGATCTAGTATTTGGAGAGCATGCGGGCATCTTGAAATGTTTGGAATCGAATACACAGAATCTATTCTTGTAGCCGGAGCAAATGCAAAAGCAGCACAGCAGTTTCCTGTCTAGGCCTGGTGAACGCATTTCTGCCGCCAATGACACGGAATTTGTTGCTCTGACAAGCGCAGGCCAGAGCCTGGGTGCAGTTGACATCCCAAAAACGGGTTGCTGCTGTGCGTGATTTCACATCATAACAATTCATAAGTCAGAATGTTGCCACCGTGGGTTTCGCACCTGAACACACTTGTTTCTTGGATTGTAGCAGTGCCATGGCCGCCAGACATCCTAATCTTGGATCCTTCAGCACTTCTTGCAGACACAGAGGTCGGGCGCTGGGGATTGGAGCTCCACACATTTGGCCTCTATGGATTGGTCCAGAAGGGTATCCCTAGATCCACTGGCCAATCATTCTCCCCAGTAAAATGACAGTTTGTTCTTTTTTTTCACCATTTTCAGAGACACATCTTGACATGACTGGTCTGACTGGTTCCTGCTGTATTTCCAAAAAAGAACCACATGAAGAACGGCAAACTCTGCCGAGGATTCTGTGGTGATCCCATCGCAGACGCGATCCCATCACGGCTTTGGCAGAGTCTTCAGCAGCTCGCCACGCTGGCCGTGTTGGGAACTGGTAGACACCAGGCTGAGTGAAAGTCAAAGCAGAGAAAAACATGAGTAGTGGATAGTAGTGGATGGAATCAAAGTGGCTGGAAATTGGTTTCCATGATTGGCCATGATGTTTATTTGGTGCACTATGGTGCACTTGGCGACCAATTGCAGAGTACCAGATCCGAAAATGCGAACCGCTTAGTAGCCAGTGGGATAGAACTCTACCCGCTCCCCTGTGCTGAACATGGTTAAGCAATCAATGGTGTATGACCACTCCAAAAACAGGGCTATATATATCGAGCAACGACTTTGCAGAAAAAATGGACCATGAACCCGTGCTTGCCTCGTGTATCCGTATTTTTGTTGAGACCCCAGTTTATCGTTATATCATGTTATATCGCCATTGTTTCTGGTTTACCAAGCCATTTATTGCTGCTCGAAATCCGCGTTTTGGTTGCAGCCTCAAGAGTCTAGTTAACTCACCCATCCAGATCATTCAGGTGGTCCAATCCAGAAATGTTTTGTCGTATATGTACCTCGATTTCCTGTTGCTTAGCCCCCTATTCCCGCTTGGGATCCCGCCATTCTTCAAGGCTCACCCGGACCACTGAGGCATCAAGGAGCTGTTCAGATTGGGCAAGCTGCTGCGTCGCATCGAGGCTGCAGAATTGGTTTTGTTTGGACGAGCAGAAACAGAAGTCGGAAGGTTTCCAACAGAACTCACCAAAACTGCGGCTTGGTGGCTTTCAATTTTTGGATTCCATGAAAGCAGCTGCTCTTTCAAACAGCACTGAAAGCGTCAGCCGCGAGTTGTTAGGCCTTTGAGGGACTGGAGTGTCGCTCCCTGGTTGATGTGTGTCACAGTGCCTTACATTTTGAAACCGTTGATGTTGGGCAACACATTTGTCCGGGCGCCAAGTGTCTGACACACTGTGTCGTGAACAGCGCAACAGAGCTTGTGCCTTTGAAGTCCATGGCAAAATGTGGTTGCTTTTGCCAGAGATGCGCTTTCATTTTGGTGGATGAAAGATGAAGGAAGGAACCCAGCTGTATCTCATTTCTCCGCTTTGGCTCAGACCATTTAAGGCATCTTGGATTTGAAGCAGCCAAGTGAATTCTACTCTCAAACAGCCATCAGCAATAGCAGAGCATGAAGCACAGGGATGATGAATGCTGCATCCGCACCAGCTGTGTAGGTCAACTGACAATGGTAGCTGTTGCCTCACTGCGAGGTGGCAATCGTTCATGTCTTCAAACTTTCGATTAGCCGGGAGCTCCCCATCTACTAGCGTGATCTAGCAAGGGTGATGAAGGCATCATGTGCCTTGACGATCCTCGTCACACCCCGCTAACAGATGGGAATGGAAGATTAGTCGAGCACGTGGGTCGCACCGAAGTGCAGCTTCTTATGCTAATGGCAGCTACAGTGGAAACTGGGGATGTGCTCATGACAGTATTCTTGTGACCAACTGGGACAAACGATTATATACAACTTCACTTCTATGACAGGATGATGAAGCAAGTATTCTACTTTGACAGTCACAGCATAATAACTTTAATTACTTCATCAATGTAGCCCTTGTGGAAATTGGATTTGAATCGTGTACTCTTGGCAATGAACGACTTCAAATGCAGGAGGTCAGTCACAAAGCCCTGACGTGGGGAAATTGCAGCCCACCAAGTAGCGAAGACAACGTGTAGCAGTGTAGCATGCGCGGCTTATTTCACAAAGTGAAAGAGACCGCACTGAGTGTGCTTCTTTTAAGATTTTTAAGGAGCCTTGATGCAGCTTTGCTTCCGAGGGGCCCCAGCAATGGAAGGCTCTCTCTCTCTCTCTCTTGCTGGGGCGCCTCCAAAGCAATTGAATCAAATACTCACTGACATGCACCAAAATCAAATAGTAACCATGAGAGTTGCTATAGCTTGCTATAGCATGCTATAGCTATCTGCTATAGCTATCGGTTGCGAAGGCCATGGGACACTTAGGAGGGAGCCCTTTCCAATCCTTTCCACATGGCTTCCACATGGCTTCAGTGCTGAGGCCGTGAAGGACAAGAGGCCACTGGATTCTTCGAGATCCTTGGAGGTTGGTGATCAGCGGATCAGCGGAAAATGGGCATCAAAAGCCTACTCTGAATATTGGGGGTTCATGATGGTTCATGGATAATCACAGTAACTTTGATGAGTTTTGATGTACTTTGATCAAACATGACACTGCAGAACATCCGCAAAGCTTGTGGCCCATATCGTGCCCTTTTACGGGAGTTGTAGCATAGCCATTGGTCCGAAGTCTGGAACTGATTTCACCATCTAAAACGATGACGCAACGAGCACTGGACACTAGCAATCCTGGGCCAACCAGCCACCATGGCCTGGGCATGGGTGATCAGGCACAGCTTCCTCATCTTCAAATGGTGCCTTTCTCTTTCAGCTTCGGGAGGGCAGTGCAGTTGGAGAAGACGTTTTGTTAGAGCAGGACGCAGCAAAAAGGTTGCAGCATCATAGACAAGTTTGCCTTGGCAGCACAGCCTATTGCTCTTGGAAGTCCAAAACCCTTGAAAATCCATTGAATGTCCCAAGTCATTTTCCCCAATGTGGTGGTTGCAGGAGAGGATCTTATAGAACTTTGGAGTTTTGACGCATGGGGCCAGGTGATGCAGACATGCGGCAACACTTTGTGACAGGCATAAGACATGGTCTACCTCAATCCAATCATAGTTTCACAGAATGCGATCTTTAATAAATTCTGATATGTACATGTGTAAACAGTATGTATATATATAGATAGATAGATAGATAGATAGATAGATAGATAGATAGATAGATAAGATAAGATAAGATAAGATTAGAGTAGAGAGTAGAGTAGACTAGATTAGATAGATAGATAGATAGATAGATAGATTGGCAATGAATATAATATATGAATATATATACATACATACATACATACATACATACATACATACATACATACATACATACATACATACATACATACATACATACATACATACATACATACATACATACATACATACATACATACATACATACATACATACATACATACATACATACATACATACATACATACATACATACATACATACATACATACATACATACATACATACATACATACATACATACATACATACATACATACAGACACCCACACACAGACATACACACAGACAGACAGACATACATACATACATACATACATACATACAGACATACAGACATACAGACATACAGACATACATACATACATACATACATACATGAACAAACCGCGAATCAGAAACTTACCGCGAATCAGAAACAAAGAATCAGAAACTAAAAGCCGCGAATCAGAAACTAAAATCCGCGAATCAGAAACCAAAATCCCGCGAATCAGAAACCAAAAATCCCGCGAATCAGATACTAAAATGCACGAATCCGAAACAAAACTCCGCGAATCAGAAACTGAGAATCAGAAACTAAAAACTGCGAATCAGAAACTAAAATCCCGCGAATCAGAAACCAAACTCCCGCGAATCAGAAACCAAAATCCCCCGAATCAGAAACCAAAAACCGCGAATCAGAAACCAGAACCAGAAAATCAGAAACTATGTTGATCCGCCACTATGTTGAATACGATATTACCTTCTACTTCACTTCATAAGAAATCAAATCCGCCACCCCCTCTGGCCACTATGTTGAATAGGATATTACCTTTTACTTCACTTCAAAAGAAATCAAATCCGCCACCCCCTCTGGCCACTATGTTGAATAGGATATTAACTTCAACTTCATAAGAAATCAAATCCGCCACCCCCTCTGGCCACTATGTTGAATACGATATTACCTTCTACTTCACTTGAAAGGAAATCAAATCCGCCACCCCCTCTGGCCACTCTGTTGAATAGGATATTACCTTCTACTTCACTTCAAAGGCAATCAAATCCGCCACCCCCTCTGGCCACTATGTTGAATAGGATAGTAACTTCAACTTATCTTCATAAGAAATCAAATCTGCCACCCCCTCTGGCCACTATGTTGAATAGGATATTAACTTCAACTTATCTTCATAAGAAATCAAATCCGCCACCCCCTCTGGCCACTATGTTGAATACGATATTACCTTCTACTTCACTTCAAAGGAAATCAAATCCGCCACCCCCTCTGGCCACTCTGTTGAATAGGATATTACCTTCTACTTCACTTCAAAGGCAATCAAATCCGCCACCCCCTCTGGCCACTATGTTGAATAGGATATTAACTTCAACTTATCTTCATAAGAAATCAAATCCGCCACCCCCTCTGGCCACTATGTTGAATACGATATTGCCATCTACTTCACTTCAAAGGAAATCAAATTCGCCACCCCCTCTGGCCACTATGTTGACTAGGATATTACCTTCTACTTCAACTTCACTCCAAAGGAAATCAAATCCGCCACCCCCTCTGGCCACTATGTTGAATAGAATACTACTTTCTACTTCAGTTCATAAGAAATCAAACCCGCCACCCTCTCTGGCCACTATGCTACATAGGATATCAAGATTAACTTCAACATATTTTCTTAAGAAATCAAATCCGCCAACCTCCTCTGGCCACTATGTTGAATAGGATATTACCTTCTACTTCACTTCAAAAGAAATTAAATCCGCCACCCCCTCTGGCCACTATGTTGAATAGGATATTAACTTCAACTTATCTGCATAAGAAATCAAATCCGCCACCCCCTCTGGCCACTATGTTGAATACGATATTACCTTCTACTTCACTTCAAAGGAAATCAAATCCGCTACCCCCTCTGGCCACTATGTTGAATAGGATATTACCTTCTACTTCACTTCAAAGGCAATCAAATCCGCCACCCTCCTCTGGCCACCATGTTGAATAGGATAGTAACTTCAACTTATCTTCATAAGAAATCAAATCCGCCACCCCCTCTGGCCACTATGTTGAATACGATATTACCATCTACTTCACTTCAAAGGAAATCAAATTCGACACCCCCTCTGGCCACTATGTTGACTAGGATATTACCTTCTACTTCACTCCAAAGGAAATCAAATCCGCCACCCCCTCTGGCCACTATGCTGAATAGAATACTACTTTCTACTTCACTTCATAAGAAATCAAACCCGCCACCCCCTCTGGCCACTATGCTACATAGGATATTAACTTCAACATATTTTCTTAAGAAATCAAATCCGCCACCCTCCTCTGGCCACTATGTTGAATAGGATATTACCTTCTACTTCACTTCAAAGGAAATTATCCGCCACCCCCTCTGGCCACTATGTTGAATAGGATGTTAACTTCAACTTATCTTCATAAGACATCAAATCCGCCACCCCCTCTGGCCACTATGCTCAATAGGATATTACCCTCTACTTCACTTCATAAGAAATCAAATCCGCCAACCCCGTCTGGCCACTATGTTACATAGGATATTACCTTCAACTTATCTTCATACGAAATCACATCCTCCTTTGAAATCCCGCGGACCACTCCCATGATTTGCCGTCTGATCCAATTAAAGCCCATGCAAAATCTCCATTGCACTTGCTCATTAGGATTGATGAACAGGTTTTAGTTTCCGATTCTTTTGGTTTCCGATTAACAGGTTTTAGTTTCCGATTCACCTGCTTTAGTTTACGATTCAGCTTTGGTTCCCGATTCCGGGTTTTTGGTTTCCGATTCAAGGGTTTTAGTTTCCGATTCACGGGTTTTAGTTTCCGATTATTTTAGTTTCCGATTAACAGGTTTTAGTTTCCGATTAACGGGTTTTAGTTTCCGATTAACGGGTTTTAGTTTCCGATTAACGGGTTTTAGTTTCCGATTAATGGCTTGACCATACATACATACATACATACATACATACATACATACATACATACATACATACATACATACATACATACATACATACATACATACATTGTAAATGGCCGGAGACTCCCTAATGATCTTGGTCAGGATGATGAGATTGCCAGAACTGATTGTGTCCCCCAAACCTGTTGTATTGCTACCCAAAAGGATGAAAACACTCAGCCACTAGTCTTCTCCTCGAACACCCCAAACGCAGCAGCTGTTTGTCACCTGATGATGCCAAAATTGTCTTTGTCGCAGGTTGGACACTGGGAGGTCCAAAAGCAGAAGGCTGTGTCAGCCTTATTCCAAAAGCTTGCAAAAGGGCGGCCTCGCCCAAATCAACCTATGGAGTGACCCTGTCACTAGAGGCGCAAGACACGGAAATCCCTCCGCACCCTCACCGTGGAGGCCCGCCTGAGCCAAGTGTCTGCAGACACTCGTTGGATCAAACCATGGTACCTGAAGCAAGTGGTGGGTCCACAATTGGATATTCACACTCGTCCTTTTTTATATTTTGATCCAACTCAGTGCTTGTATTCTCACGCAGCCAGCGAACACGATCTCTGGATTGTGCTCTGGCTTTGAGGGTTGTATTTTCGTCCACTAGTCTGTATTGTCCTAGTCTTAAGGTTTCTCTGAGAAAGTGTGCCTGCATGGCCTTTGTCAACGCATCTGCTAATTGAGCACCGGTGTGCACCCATCGGAGTTGAATGCCCTCCTTTAACGATTCCTTTATCGACCTAGCCATGAGCTGAACTCTGAATTCCGAACATGATGGTGGTGCGGTCCGGGTGATCAGGTCAAATAAGGATTTGCAGTCAGTTATTGCCACATCTTGATTTTCATTCACTGTGGAAACAGAAATGGCAGGTTCTAGTTGAAGTAGGGCATTGTCTGGGTCTCGCCATTGCACTTTCGGATCGTGTAGCCATCGCCAATGCAGTCGGATCCAAGCCATCTGATCCAAAGCGGATGCCAAGGAAGTGGTCTCTGCTGATAAGGTGCTTGTCACGACCTTCTGAATCTTCTTGCTCCCCCAAGTTAAAGGACTGATTGGGCACTGGGAATTATTGTTAATATCTTCATGAGTTCCTACAATAATTGAACCAGCATGGGAGTCGGGTTTCTTAGTTGAGGCAAAGGATGCATCTGAGAAAGCCATGAATCTGAAGCTTTGATGTGGTATGGGCTTTATGGTGATGGTTACATCATGGTATCGTTTGGCTTCGTGAAGTAGTCGATTGGCAGATTGTAGTGTCTCAATGTTGGCTTGATTGATTTCTGACTGAAGTAGTGAGAGTCTGCTTGAAAGATCAGGTCGGGTATTTGTTGCTGCATACTGTAGTGATCCGATTAGGCCCCGCAGGTGGCCCCTTTCGGTCTCTGTGACTGGCAATTCAGGCTGTGTTTTGCGATGAACTTCAATGGGGATTGATGGAATTTTTCTTACATAGGCCGATTGACTCAAAACGATACTGTGATCATATTTTTGGGTGAGTTCAATCCCTGTAAAGGTAAAGGCAGTTGAGCTTTTTGACCCAAAAGCGTACTTTTGTTCTAGCTTATCCATGACCCTTTGAAATTCTGGTGTTCCTCCGTAAATCCCATCGTCGACATGGATTCCCACGACACCAAGTAGTTGTCCTTCTTGAGGGGTTCCCTTGGTTCCTCTTAGTATGAATACACATGGGTCAAATGGGCTCGTTTCCAGGCCTAATCTAGTGAGTTCCCCAACAAGTGCTTTGTACCATAGATATGGCGCATCGATCAAACCATAAGCTCCCTTGTTTAACTGGCCTACTTCATTTGGACCCATCTGCATTGCTTTGCGGATCTCGGGAACTGGTTCCACAGCCATCACTCGGTCGGCCTGTGGCTGGCCCTGCAGAAAAGCTGCTTTGATGTCAAATGACTTCAGAGTCCAGTTGTGACTTGCGATGGTCTGAAGGATGAGCATTCGTGAGGTCTTATTTAAGGTGGGACTATCTCTTGGGATTTCTTCAATGTTTGGATCAAGATATCCTAATACCACCAGTCGAGCCTTAGCCTTATAGTTATTCCCCTGTTGGTTACCATTATTTGACCCTGTATTGTCAATTGGTTTCCAGGTGAGTATCCATCGACATCTTAAGATTTGGGATTCTGGAATCTGATGTCTGAGAACCTTGGTCAGAGTTTTGGTCTGGATCCAATTGGCCACCTCGGCTGCCTTGGCTTGTTCGAATTGTTCTCTCTCTTGCTTGTTGAGCTCATGCAATCTTACTTCTGTTCTCTGTTTCTTGGCATTGGTCGCCAACAGAATGCATGCTTCTGTTGATGACAGATTTTCCACATTGGTATTTTCAGGAAGTGTTACATCAAACTCGCATCTCCAAGCAAGATCCTGAGATTCGGTGGTGCCGAGTGCATCTGCTTCCTCTACACAGAGAAGTTGGAAATCGTGATTTTCCGGATCATTGGTGGCATTTGATTCATCCAGGGCTTGTGACACCTGGCGACTCTCGATCTCTGGTTCTTGGTCAGGCTGTCTCATGGGACTTGAGAGACTTGGGTCGCTTTCACGGCGATCACTGGCTATGGAGGGGCTATAGGGACTATCAGGTTCATTAGGAATGTTGATCTCTTCTCCTTCGGGGATGGTTGGTAGGTCTTGACTCATGCGTGATATTTGTTGTTGCAAGCTGGTAATGTCCTCAGGTAGGACGCCATCTTCTGGGATTCCTTCACTGGGATGTGCTTTTCGAACATTTTCTGGGGCACTACGATATATTTTCCCTGCCTGCGTAGTCCATACTGTATGACTGGAGTCTTGAAGGATAACCCTTTGGGGACCTATCCATTCTTGAGTCTTAGAGGGTGTAGTTCTCCAAATCATAACCCATGTATTGGGGTGGAATGGACCTCTTTCTGGGCATGGTCTTCTCAACATGGCTCTTCGGATCGAGTCGCTGTTGTCAGCGATGTGGAATGCCTTTCTTGCTGACTCGCGAAGCTGCAATAGGTGTCGAAACCCTTTTGGTTGCAATTGGTCAGGCTCCTGTACTGCTGACAGATGTGATGGTATGGATTCATCACTCATGATGGACCCAGGCAACCGGCTGCTTTTTCCAAACACAATGATTTCTGGGCTATACCCATGACGAACCACCATGCTGTTCTTGGCCTGGGTGCACTGGTTTAGTGCAGCTTGCAGTTCTGGATATGTGGTGATGGGCATGTCGGTGTCAACGCGCTGTAACATCTCTTGAACAAACCTGCCATGTCTCTCAATCTTTCCATTCTGCCAATGTGCTTCTGGACTGGTAACATGAGTCTTGATTCCATATTGTTGACAAAACTGGGAAAATTCTTCACTGAGAAATTCGGTGCCAGAGTCATGAACAATCTCTGCCGGGTAGCCTGCCCAGGAAATCCAATGCTGCGACAGCAACTGAATTACATCCCTTGTGGTGTGGGATGGTGCGCAAAAGGCTACATGAAAGTTTGACCCTGCATCCAGCACGTGATAGAAAAAGAAGTTTCCTTTGGCACTATTGCTCCATGATATCCCACCAATGTAAATTTTATGATTGAAGTCTATCATTGGTTTAAGGGACCCTGGTCTTTGGTGCTTTGGAGGGGTATGCGTCAAACAGCTGGGGCACACTAAGTCAAAAGCCGCCTGAACCATCTCTGGACGTTGTCCAGCATTTCGAAGGGCCTTGGCAAGTCTTTCATTGGTAGGATGGCCTAGATTCTTATGGATCTGCATGAGTTTCTGGCGTTCCCACTTCGGCAACCTCAAAACGCTGGTGCTTTGGCTGACTTGTTCCGATGGATGGCTTGGAGACAAGTCTGGAGCCAGTGAGATGGTTGGTTCCGCAGGACGATCTTCGTCATCCTTCGTGGTGCTTTCAGATTGAGGCGGGCTATCTACAGTGATGCTCGGCGATACGCTGTCTGATCTCTGAGACTCTTCGGTGCTTGTTGGCTCTAGATCTTTGGCAAACATGGTCACATTCAAACGACAACTGTGGGCAGGACGTATTAGCTGACGGTTCGAAAGTTCAGGCCACTTTTCCCAATGAGTCTCAAACTTCACCGCCGCTGTGGATCGAATGATCATCAGGGATTTTCGGTATGGAGCCATGCTGGGCATCGTCCCAGCCGGTGGTGCCAGAGTGCGATCAGTGCCACGACAAGCTACGGCTGTCACAATCCGTTTGTCAGGGAATAATCTTTGCAAGTCTGATAAAATATGGTTTTCTGTGATTTGATACTTTCCAACTCTGGGGGTTATTTGATGGATCTTCTGAAGGCAACTTTGATATTCCTCTAAATGTGGTCGAGTTGACTGTTTTCCCGTGAGTCGGCGTCGTTTCTCCTCCTTGTCTTGAAGAGGCTCAGGACTGCTCAAGGCGGATTTTGGAAACTTTTCCTGATTCTGGCTCGGCTTTCGGAACACTGATCGGACTGAACGCTGTCCGAAGGCTGGCAATGTTTCTGCAACCTGACACCATGCTCCCACGGCCCATCTAAATGGCCTTTGAAATGGAGACTGGGACATGACCTTGGCAATCAAACGGGAAAACTTTCTTGGATACGTCTCAGAGAATTGGGTCCTGAGAATTGAGTGACCTTCAAACACAGTGCTACCCTCGATCGGTTGGTGGTTTGGATGATTAGTGCATTTCCTGCCATGCAGTTGCTCATATATTCCGGGATGGGTGGTGAGCACGGTCATTGGCTTGCGCATTGGTTCACCAGTTGCAGGATCCTTCAAACCCTGAGTGCACATGTCGAATTGGCAAGCCTGCGAATGTTGGTGAATCTCTGATAATCCATGTACATGTAGCAACAATGATCGGTTCGGCTGCTCCAAGTGAAAATGTCTACCATGTTCAACTTGATGGCGATACAGCACAATCCCCAACGCAACTTGATACATTAAATGGTGGCGTAGCTGTTGATACTTTTGTTGGCTTTCTAAGGATCGGGAAGCATTCAAGTTACTCCAGGATGACCAGGGACCACATGTTGGGCTATACCATAGGTGTTGGGGCCGATGCTGAACAATCCAATGGAACAACTTCTGTCTACCTTCAATCCTTGAGAGATCACCATCGGCCAGACCAAAACGAAATGCCTGATGGCCCAACTGTCGGACCTGGTGAGTCAGGGTTGACTCCGCATCGCAGAAAATCTCCCCCAGCATGAACGGTTTTCCCATTGGCTTGGTCGTGTTCAAAGTATTATTTAGTTCATGTTCAAGGACCTTTATCCATCTATTAAGGTGATTCATGTCATGATGGACAGCCGTGAATGCTTCCGATACATCATCCTGGGCAATGCTTGGTGGATCTACTGCGTTCCCTGGTTCTGGCTCGCTTGCTCCATGGCCTGGGTTTCCAGGTGATTGACCACTTTGGTCAGAGCATTCTCGAGATTCAGCAGGCGCTCCTGCATGGCACTGAATTCCGGGCTTTGGCTCAGGGGAGATGGTACCATAGTCAGTGAGTTGTACATCTCGATCTCCTCTTGCAGTTCTTCGTCCAACAACGGAAAATGGGTTGGCTCCTGGTAGCCAGAATTCGGAGCCACACCCGCCTTTGCCTTGGGCTGGAACTTCACGTTGGCCTTGGCCCTTGGTGGGTTGACGACACGGCCAGAACCCTCGGTCGATCCTAGGTCCGTCTGGACCACCACAGGCATCTGTTGCTCCTCGTGATGTTGAACCATGAGTTCCACGAATCGAAGGAACTTCCGGTGGGCTGGATTGTGGCTCTTGCTGTAGCGGTCTGCCATGAATGCTACCCATTCTTGGTCGGTGTTCCACACCTCCATGTAGCTGCGGCCGCAGTTTTTCTTCCCGAAGTCCACCATCTCGTTCTCGAGGTCTTGGATGCTCAGATGAGCTACATCGGATGGGTTTGGTTCGGACTTCATCTGCAAACCCTTCAAGCGCTGACTCAGGGACATGGCTTTTCGGGTCTTGGTGTTCGGTTTTGACACAATCGGACGTATGTTGGGCTTGGGCCGGGCTATCACCAACCGCTGCATGAGAATTGAAGTCCTGTTCATCAGGCATCACTGAACATGCTCGGATTTCTTGGTTTAACCCTTGGGATTCTGAAAGGCATTGCATGGGACTTGACACTGGACTATCACGTGAACCCTTGCAATCGCTGTCAGATTCAGCGGGGATTTCTCTTTTGCATGTTGTGGCCGTGAAAGTCTCACCTACAGTCTTCGCTGCTGGATGTTCGTTCACTGGGCAATTGGAAGCTCTCGCCAATTCATTAAGATCTATCAAAAACAGACCTTTGTTAGTGAGTTCCATCCGAACTGGCTGCCGGAGCTTTGGGCTTCGAAGCAAAAACGCTTGACAGTCGATCTGTGCCTGGAGGGCCCTCATCAGCGTATTGCTAATGAGAAACGGAGTGCTACCTGGAACCACAGCTATCTTAAGCAAGAGATTTCCTATGGGAACAACAATTGCTTGATTGCTTGTCAGGGTACCCTGGTTTCCAAACCTGAAAGTGATCTGACACTTGCACCGGGTGAGTCTTTCTCTGATAGGCTGATCCAGGCTGCAGATCAGACTTTTCACATGATCAGATCCGATCACCGTCTTGGATGCACCTAGATCCAACACACCAAACGTTGTGTGAGTTGCAAAGCAAACTGGATTCACACTGACTTCACTGCTATCGTCTGATGGCGTGTGACATGGGACTTCAACTTTCGAGTGCATCACTGGGTGACCTGGGACATTGACGGGACGGTCGGATCTCTCCGTTTTAGGAGAACTGGGCGACACTTGCACATGCGGACTCAACACTGTCGACATTGGTTCATCATCCTTCCTGAGCACGGTCATGCGCAGGCGTTCTTTGAGTGACTTTATGTTATTATTTTCCCCAAGTGGGCCAATACTAATTCCCCTAGATTCCCCAAGAATCCTACCACGATAGTATAGCCTAGGTCTGCTTGAGGTTGCTTGGCAAACAAAAACTTGACTGGGCTCGGACAAAGTGGCTTCATCGATTGCGGCTTCATCGGATCTGGGCAGCTGCAAAAACTCTAGAGGCAAACTATCCATCGTCTCAAGGCTGGACTCGGTCACTACTGTACCTGTTGGAGCTTGGGAACTGGCGGAACCTGCATTCTGCTGGTTCTGGCGCAGCGGGCACTCTGCTTTCCAGTGACCCTTTTGGCCACAGGCCCTACAGTTGCTTGACAAAATCCGATCCTGGAGCGACCTTCTTGGTCTGTTGAAACTGGAAAAGCCCTTGCCCTTGAACGAGTTTCGCGAGCCAAATCCCTTTCCTTTGGACTGGGAAGGCTGGAACGGTCGGCTTGGAAAGAAACCTCTGTTTCGGGCCTTCTCATTCAGCTTATGTCGGGCTATTTGATAGGCTGAATAGGCACTGGCAAGTTCGGGATCCTCCTGTACAGTCTCACTGAGGGCACTTTCAAAGTCATGGACTAGCAGGGCATCACTGTCGCCTTCTTGAAGAAGCATCTCAAGAACCTCTTCCTCGTTCATCGCATCTTCGGCATTGAAGACGGGTTCTGAATCTTCCCCATCATGTGATGCATCTGCTATCAATGCGGTTTGATCGTACACCTTTGACTTGACTGTTCGCTTGTTACCCGTGATGTCATTGAAAAACACCGATCCCAACATTCTGATTGATTCTGCTACCCTCTTGGTTGTCAACTGACCTGCTGCCTCGGATTCCAACACTATGCGCTTCTTGTCTTCGGCCGTCAAACAAGAGCCTCTGAGAGTGATGAAAGCCTGCAAGTCAGCTAATGTCACCTTTTGGGCCAGAAGCTTACTCCAGTTCACATCTGCTCGAGCTAGGTATGAATCATTTGTTTCATCGCTATGTTGCTGGGTATGAAACAAGGCTATCTCCGCCTCCTCGTACTTCTTGGCCAACGGAACTCTGCCCCATTGTCCACCTAAGAGCTCCACCAACTTCTTGATGGCTGCCTCTTCCCCTGTAACCAGCTCTGCTTGATGGATCTGTAGCTTCTGAAAAGCTGAACCTGTTGTATTGAGAATGAGTCGCGTCTGCAACTCGGCCAGTTTTGTTTTCGGCCATGCGGCCGTCACCAACTCAACTTTCTGTTGATAGGTCACCAGATCATCTCGACTTGGGTCGAAGGTCGGCACCAAGGATGCAAGCTGGTTGCTTACACCCAACTGAGATGTTTCTGCAGCTGTGCTTGACATGCTTCTCCCCGGATGCCCCCTCGGTATGTAGCGAGGGAGCTCCGCTACCAGTGTAAATGGCCGGAGACTCCCTAATGATCTTGGTCAGGATGATGAGATTGCCAGAACTGATTGTGTCCCCCAAACCTGTTGTATTGCTACCCAAAAGGATGAAAACACTCAGCCACTAGTCTTCTCCTCGAACACCCCAAACGCAGCAGCTGTTTGTCACCTGATGATGCCAAAATTGTCTTTGTCGCAGGTTGGACACTGGGAGGTCCAAAAGCAGAAGGCTGTGTCAGCCTTATTCCAAAAGCTTGCAAAAGGGCGGCCTCGCCCAAATCAACCTATGGAGTGACCCTGTCACTAGAGGCGCAAGACACGGAAATCCCTCCGCGCCCTCACCGTGGAGGCCCGCCTGAGCCAAGTGTCTGCAGACACTCGTTGGATCAAACCATGGTACCTGAAGCAAGTGGTGGGCCCACAATTGGATATTCACAATACATACATACATACGTACATACATACATACATACATACATACATACATACATACCTACACACATAGTATGAATACAATATGATACAATTATGATACACATACGATATAAATCGATATAACATGTACATATCAGGTGTTTTCATCGGTTCCTTGCACCGCGAAGGACATTTTTCCATGGCCTTTTTCAGTGGTGGCAGAGACGTCTGTGGAGATCGTTTGGGTCGATGCCAAACTCTTCAAGGAGGCGATAAAGGGGCACCAGATGCACCAGATTTTTTGATTCCAACCGGATTTTTATCCTAATTTTAGGTTCGGCCGGTATGACTCAGACATACGGATATATATATATATATTCCCACCAAATTGGAGGGTTCAATATTTTAATGATTAATTCATGCAAACAATGGCAATTTTTATGGGGTTGATGTCTGTTTCGTCAATGGTCATGTGCCAGTCCTGCCTGGATCTCTCGGGGCGACGTGCTGCCCGGCGCCGGATGGTGGAGGCCTGGATCCTGTGTTTTTCGGTGATTGATAACCTGTGAGGGGTAGAAAATGGGTAAAATGGATGGTTGGAATGGAAAATCCTATGCACTTGGAGGATTTTGGGTACTTCCACTTTAAGAAACCTCCATATGATGTGATTTTGTCTTCACATGGAAATTACATGCTAAAATCCTGTTGCCATTTGGATCACAGCAAATACGTTCTATTTTCACTGGCGGCGGAACCATCCCGCCCGCTGCTCCTTGGCTGCATGGTGCGTCTCGGGTCGCTAGAACATGGCTTTGTCAAAGCACTTCAAAGAAAAGGTAGGGAAACCTTCCTATCATACTGTCGCTTTCACTGTTTGCAATTCTTAGCTAGAGAACTTAGCACGTTCCGGAGATCAACCATGCACCAATGTGTCCCACCTGCGACATTCAACGGCTCTAAGGTGAAAGACATCAGGTCTTCCATATGCTCGGAGGCCCAGGAGGCCCTCTGTGGCCGACGTCTTGGAAAGCCACCACTGAGTATGGTGTGGTGTGCCAAGTAGGAACGCAGGAACGCCACCAAGGTACGGCACTTTTAAGAAAGATGAGAAGGGGCGGCAACGTGATCATGACGCATCTCGATTAGAGACAGGGTGGGCCTTGGGATGCGAAGTGACAAGACCATCAGAGGTTGAGAGGGGGCCGCTCTGACTACCATTTGCCGTCGGATTCTTTGGTTTGCCTCTGCCACGACTCTTTAACCTAGCCAGACTCTAGCCAGTTGGTGCTTGTTTGCCGTATTGAAGTGACTCTTTTTGAAGCTCCAGTACAAAGGCTCTAAGGACATTGGAAGGCATTTTTAGTTTCGTGTCAACACTTTGATTTGGTGTCCAAACTTTAATATGCTCTCACCACTTCATCAAGAAAATGCACGGCCGGCTATCTTGAGCCCTGTAGTTACTGTAGTTCCCTTTGAACACAGATTCAAAAGGACTGATCCTTACAGCCATTGGTCAAGAAATCCTTGAACCAAGCAGTCGTACTGGACTTTTTCAACAGCAGACCATCCAGGTTCCCATGAATCTAGAAGCTCACGTCCGAGTGAATGAGCATGTTCGGCCGTGAAATCGAGGACTTTCCGTGGTTTATGCTTTGCCTTTTCATGATGATCCTGGCCTTGTATGGCATGGTTGTGCAGCTTGACAGCAGTCTTTGACGCTCGTGAGAGATCTCGAGTAGTCTTCTGCTGTGGAAGGAATTCCTATTGAAATAGCTAGAAAGTTCAACGCTGTTTGGAATCTTCATATCTTTCTTGCCTCAGCATGCATGTGAGACGCGCAAAGTCCTTGCACCAAGCTGTGTGTCAACGCCATCACTCCGCGCGGGGATGTAATCAGTTTAAGCTTATGTAAAGTTTCGGCTGGCTCGGCTCAAATGCAGCATCTCGATGCGATTGGTGTTGCGCGCGTGTTTTCTTTTTCCCCCTTTTTTTTTCCGAGCAGATTCAATAGTGTTTGTTGTCACCATAGCAGGCCATGAATTGTGGCTGCAATTCAAAGCTGCCCGGGCATGGCCGAGGTGTGGTTCCTGGGATGTGGCAGGAAGGCTAGATACCTTTGCCATTAGGTCCGCGGAAGGGATGAGGATGGGAGGACTCCGAGCACTGAAGCACAACTATTCAAGACTGAGTGCTTCATATTGGTGGTCCAAAAAATATCCAGCACTGAAGTTTGCTGTGAATTCAAGAGATGTAGAGATCCCATGGCCTAACGTAGATTCACCACATTCCCCATGGCCAGTCCTTTGTGACCATAGCGAAGCTGCAGGTCGAAGAACTTCATGGATGTTATGGGCAGAGCGGCAAGTTCCGTGGGCACTTCCGTTCATGCTGCAGTGCAGCAGGAGCTCTTTGGGTGGCGTTTGGGGTCGGATGTCGGTCCAGGAACTGGGTGATGAATTAGAAAGAAATTTGCAAGATAGTAGTGGGAGTGATGAGTTCCTCAATTTTTCCCGCAATCTTGTGACCGTAGCACAATGCAAAAATTGTTTTCCTCTCAATGTCGCAGTCTTATCTGCAGCAGTTTCTTCTTGCAGTCCTCCTCCCACCACGTCTCAGCAAACTCTGTCGCAGGGAAGCATGGCACTGACACAGGGAGACTCGTCAGCAAGATCTCTGTTGTGCAGCTTGTGCCTGCTGTGGGTTTGAAAAGAGGGGTGCTCGGACCAACAGATAAAAAGCTGGGAACTCGAATCCTGGCTGTCTTTATTATGCGCTTCTGTTGGATTTATTGCAGCATTCTTGCGATATCCTTGTCCTGCCAGAAGCTTAAGATGCGACAGGTGCTGGACCAATCGAGTGCCCACAAATTTTGGTGGCTGATGGTTACATGCAGCGATTGCGCTATGCATATGATTGCATATATGGGGTTTAATGATGTTTAGTGGGGATTGCTATCATGGATGAGGGGCTTACCGAATTATATATATATATATTTGTGTAATTATATATGTATATAATAGTATATAATCACATATAAATAATGGATATATGTACATATACACATATGATATGGACCCCTATCAACCAAGAGATCACTGGCGGGTTTGGGGGCAGCTCAGGTCCAGTGTTGCTGCAGCAGGAAATGGAGATGGCTGAAAAGGCACAGCGGGGCTATCAGACGATGGGGCACCTCGAATGAAAAGCCACGAGATGTTTATGGCCTAAAGGTATCATAGAGCATCCATCAAGGACGAGTATTTCGCCAGTTTAGGTAGGTTGCACATATTGATGATCCTGCATCTTATTATATTCTGTAGTGCTCTTATGTTTGTGCATTTGACATCCGCATGGTTTACACCACTGCTACCGCCATCATATTGCACAGATGGCCTTTCCATGCCTTTCCCCCGCTGGGTCATCAATACTTTCGATCCGGCGACAATTTTTTCGGGAATGGATGGGCAACGATCCTGGCAACTGAAAATCATAGCATTTTCTAGGTATTGATCCCTATAATCCCATTGATTTCATGGTATTTCATGGTATGAAACCCCTATTTCGGCTTCGGAGCTTTGGTGTTGCACTGCCAGGAGATTCGAAAGCTGACCGAAGCCTTGGGTCAGATCGAAGAGTCCAACGGCTCGGCTCACAGATGGGCTGCGCTAAGGGTTCGATGTTTCACAGATTCATATAAAATGTAATATCGATATATAATATGTAGTATATATATATAATCCCATCCCCCTAGTATGAACTACCCCCTAAAACCCATGGCATCATGGGCTTGGTATTGGATCTAGTTGTTTTTGGGGCCATATGAGGAGATGGCCATGATGTTGGGACATTCCAAGTTCCCCTCGCTTCCAGGTGCTGATGCAATGGCTCAGTATGGCCATGCTCAGAAGGTGATTTTGGTTCAGGCCACGGAGTGTGCTATTCATGGGCCCTGGGTCTGAGTCACTACTGGGATATTAAATGTGTTTTTAAATGGATTTTAAAGGGATTTACTGGGATTTAATGTGAATTAAGGTTAGTACAATGATAATAAGACACCCATATTTTCATGGTTTATACTACCCATAAAAATGGTCAATTTGGGGATGGTTTCCTATTCCTTTACATCACATCAACTCAATTGGCAAACCGTTGCGGCAAAACCAGGACATTCATCTATGGCACCACCGGAAAAAGGAAGAACAGTAAATTGCTACTAAAATAAGCGTAAATTCTTTTTTTTTTCTCTCTCTCTCTCTATATACATATATACACGTACATATTTGGATATATGCATACATACATATTTGGGTGTATATATATATATATACATACACACACACTATATTCATTTATTCTCATTGCAGAACATATGGTCCGCTATCGTTACTAGCCTCCTTACCGAAGCTGCCAGGCTGCGCGCGTGAAGATCATCTCCTCAGGAGAGGTTTTGCTGAAACGGCGATGCAAGGGCTGCCTGGTTCGACATCGGGGCGCCACCGCCATCGTCATCGTCATGATCACAATCATGATTATCACCATCACCATCACCATTTTCTTCTTTATCAGAATGTTCACCATCACTACAAAGGCATCTCGTCTGGCCATTCCCCGAGAATCGCCACAGGACTGAGTGCCTTAGAGTATCCTGAGCCGCTGAAGGCCTTTGTGGATTTTCTCAGCAATGTGCTGTAGCCTGGAAGCAATTGCTGGGATGGTGGGGATGAGAACAGGTAGGGGTGGATGGTGAGTCCGAAGGCTGGTAGATAGGTGGGGGTGGTAGATAGGTGGGTGGTAGATAGGTTGCCGCATGTCACAGGGGAATGTCGTGAGTTGGGAGCTGTGCTTTCTCCCCTTAACCATGCTTTGCCGTCCGTGTGTAGACTCTTGACGCTCGGGTCTCCAGGTCTGTAACCACTCCATTGGCAGAGCTCATTCCGCAGCACGAGGTGCAACAGTTTTGGATGGTTGTGATTTTACTTCCCTCAGGCAATAGCAGCAACAGCACAATAGCTGCTCAGTGTTTGAACTCTGTGGAATTGCCAGGGTCGGTGCTGACACATAAAAATGCCACAATGCGGTCACAATGCACAATGATGAGTGAGTTGGCCATGTGGGTGAATGAAATTACTCACAAAGGCGTTGGAATGGGAATGCACTTTCTCCCATCCAAAGCCTCGCACACAGGGGTACCGCCCAGGTGGCATCGAAGAGTCTTCATGCAAGCATGCAGTGCATCTCCGCCATTCAGCAAGAAATTGCCAAGTTGGAAAGCAACTTGGATGGATGGAGGGTTTTTGATGAAATCATTCACAACTGGCTCTTTTTGAAGCTACTTCCCATTTGATGCCTGTTCCCTCAAAACTAGCAGCGGCACACCATGCTTCAGGTGCCCTCACATGGACTGGAAATGCCACGGAAGAGTTGGGAAGCAGCTGCAGGTGCTTCATAGAGAACGCTTCCCTCTTAGCTGCTTGGCTAACAATGCACTGTGGACTTGTTGACACATGTCTTTGTGGCTTTTCGTGTTTTTTTTTTCAACCAGAGACTGAATAACAGATGTCGGAAGACCTTCAGAGCCAAGACAGTAACATCCCGATTGCTTTCAAGGAGGACACTGGTAGCAGCCCATAGCAGCCTTTGTATCTGCAGTGTTTTTGGCACAAAGACCCTGTAAACGAAACAGCAAGTTCCGAAGTCATGCCAGAGCCAGTTTGTCTTGTAGTGGGTGCTACATGCTGCGGCAGTGCGCTTCATGCTGCGGGCTCTCATGTTCGTGATTGGTTTCGCGGACATGCCGGTGAAATGAAGGATGCTGTGGAGCTTGAGAAAGCGAGGCTCAGGGCCTCAGAATTTCTGCGCCAAAAAGATTGGCACTGCAGCACATGCCCATGTGTGAAGTTCCTGCAGGTTGTACCTCAAGTTCAAGAAAGCCTTCTGGAGATTCTGAAGGATCCAGTGTTTCAAAACAGTGACTCGCTGAAGACATGGATGGAACATCAGCTAAAGCAGACTCTGAAGCTGAAAGTTGGAAGCGATGATTTCAAAAGTGAAACAGTTCAATCTGTGCAGTCTCGGGGAGGCACTTTTCACACTTTTCACACTATGATGGCAGTGATCTTTGCTCGCGTCGTGCCATGTGAAGAGAGCACTCCATCCCCGCTTGCCAAAGACACAGCCAAACAGGTTGCTCATCGTCTGACAAAATTGGGACGCAAGTATCATGCCATTGCAGACTTGCTGAAGAGTGATGGGATTGATGGTCACTTTTTGGCAAACAATGAAATCCCCAGGGAAATGCTTGCCGAAGACTATGGTGTCAGTCGGAAGATCCAGCAAGACGTCTTGCTGAACTTCTTCCGAAAGTACAAGCCCACCGTCATTCACAATGTGGCCATTGGTGTGGCAGCTTGTTCCGCTGAGTTTTCTCACAAGCCAACCAAAGGTTTCCTTTGGGACTCCAGTTCTCCCCTGGCCTTGAGCCATGAAGATCTAAAGATCCGAGCCCAGAAGATGATGGCCTACCAAAGTGCAAGCAAGGCCTTGGGTGATGCTCAGATGAATGAGCCTACTCAACCCACTCAGCCAACCGAGCCTGCTTTGGATGATTCGGCTCGTCGTGAAGCTTGATTCTCCCACAAATTGAGAGCAAACAAAGCCTTCCTGTTCATCTTCCAGATTGGCTGAGTGTGCATGAGTCATGTACATTGCTGAGGTAGATTTGATGTGTTGTAGGGGATTAGTTTAGTGCAGAGCTTCCAGCCTGAGGGTGGGTTGCTCTAGCAAGTAGCAAGAAGGTGACCCTGCTAGATGACCCCACTCCATGGGGTATTTTGTGACTTATCGACACATCTGAAGACCAATTTGAGATGCAACCCACCCTGGTGCGAACAGATGGAACCTTGAGTTGAGTCTGACTCAAAATAGCTGCAAAGTCCACCCGTCAGCTTTTGATTTTCTTGAAGCAGAGATTGAATAACAGATGTGAGAATACATGCAGTCAAGAGCCAAGACAGCAACATCCCGATTGCTTTCAAGGAAAGCAGCCGTCTGTATCTGCAGTGTTTTTGGCACAAAGACCCTGTAAAAGAAGTAGCAAGTTCCGAAGTCATGGAGCCGGTGAGTTGTCTTGCAGTGGGTGCTGCGCTCACTGCTGCGGCCTCTCATGTTCGTGATTGGTTTCGCGGACATGCCGGTGAAATGAAGGATGCTGCGGAGCTTGAGAAAGCGAGGCTCAGGGCCGCAGAATTTCTGCGCCAAAAAGATTGGCACTGCAGCACATGCCCATGTGTGAAGTTCCTGCAGGTTGTACCGCAAGTTCAACAAAGCCTTCTGGAGATTCTGAAGGATCCAGTGTTTCAAAAAAGTGACTCGCTGCAGACATGGATGGAACATCAGCTGAAGCAGACTCTGAAGCTGAAACTTGGAAGCGATGATTTCAAAAGTGAAACAGTTCAATCTGTGCAGTCTCGGGGAGGCACTTTTCACACTTTTCACACTATGATGGCAGTGATCTTTGCTCGCGTCGTGCCATGTGAAGAGAGCACTCCATCCCCGCTTGCCAAAGACACAGCCAAACAGGTTGCTCATCGTCTGAAGCAATTTGGAAGCAAGTATCATGCCATTGCAGAGTTGCTGAAGAGTGATGGGATTGATGGTCACTTTTTGGCAAACAACGACATCACGCGGGAAATGCTTGCCGAAGACTATGACGTCAGTCGGAAGATCCAGCAAGACGTCTTGCTGAACTTCTTCCGAAAGTACAAGCCCACCGTCATTCACAATGTGGCCATTGGTGTGGCAGCTTGTTCCGCTGAGTTTTCTCACAAGCCAACCAAAGGTTTCCTTTGGGACTCCAGTTCTCCCCTGGCCTTGAGCCATGAAGATCTAAAGATCCGAGCCCAGAAGATGATGGCCTACCAAAGTGCAAGCAAGGCCTTGGGTGATGCTCAGATGAATGAGCCTACTCAACCCACTCAGCCAACCGAGCCTGCTTTGGATGATTCGGCTCGTCGTGAAGCTTGATTCTCCCACAAATTGAGAGCAAACAAAGCCTTCCTGTTCATCTTCCAGATTGGCTGAGTGTGCATGAGTCATGTACATTGCTGAGGTAGATTTGATGTGTTGTAGGGGATTAGTTTAGTGCAGAGCTTCCAGCCTGAGGGTGGGTTGCTCTAGCAAGTAGCAAGAAGGTGACCCTGCTAGATGACCCCACTCCATGGGGTATTTTGTGACTTATCGACACATCTGAAAACTAATTTGAGATGCAACCCACCCTGGTGCGAACAGATGGAACCTTGAGTTGAGTCTGACTCAAAATAGCTGCAAAGTCTGCCCGTCAGCTTTTGAACTGGCAATTCTGGCAATTTTTGCACGAGCGGTGAGTTGACCATTCCATTGAGGGTGTGCGGCCGGTATCCAGCATACTAAGGACAACGCCAGCTTGGTCCCTTCCTACCAGGAGCTGGCTCGGCCCCCAGTTTGCCACACCAAACTCGAGACTGCTTTGAGAGTAAGGACAGCATGGGTGAACACAATGGTGTCAAACACTGGAAGGCCATGTTTCGAGTGCAGGTGCAGGTTGCAAAAAAAACCAATTTCTACATTGATTGCAGTCTCCCGCCTCCTTCCGGGTTTGAGAGATTTGCCCCAGCCCCAATCCAAGGTTCGGGAAAACGCTGGAAATCTCACCGAGACTATTCTGAACGAGCATCATTCCAGTGAGTTTTCAGTCTTTTGCAGTATTTATCCTTGACCACTGCAGATTTTGCATGGTGTTTCAGCAGGTTCATGCGTTGACACTTCAGTTCCCCCAAAGTCACTATTCAGGGTTTCTGGGGCCACAGCCCCCAACTACGGATATCCAGGCTACGAACTAAATGCGATAAGCTCAGAATGAGCTAAGAGGTCAGTGGCCCCTCTGCTCTGAGGAGACGAATATCTCTGCTCTGAGCAATATTAGTGTTTTCATGAACTCTGCACCTCGTCTGCACAGGACTCTTCGGAGGCATGGGTGCAGGGTGGACATAGTGGACATGTGTTGGATGGTACCTGGAAATACGCTTGTTGGAAGTGTGGCTGCTTTCCTGCTTCAACACTTTTGCTGTGCTTGTAAAAAAAGGATATGTCATCCTCAATTCCAATGGATCATGGTCATTTTCCCGATTTCTCTTATGGCCTGGTCAAATGGTTAAACCAATTTGCTTTGGACAATCCCAAGTACAATTATATTAATATATCATATATCGTATTGTTTAGTTATATCATATATCCCAGGATATCTCTCAGTATATCCCATCATATCCCACTATTTCCTCACCTCATGGTTGGTTTTATACCACTATCTTTTGTTGATGCCATTGGAGGGAGACTCCATCTCTCTGCCACCTGAGGTGTACATGACTAAGCTTCTCCAGACCAAGCTGCTGAAAGACGTGAAGGCCATGGCGCCAGAGGAGAGAACAGCAACTTGGCGGCGTCTCTTATGTTTCACGTGGAATCCCTTCCCAGAAATGTTACATGCCGCGCTAAAAAACCTGGTTAGCGTAAGCTGAGTAAGTATTGGATTTATTGATTCTGGGTTCGTTTTCAGGGAATTTGCTATTTGAGGCGGAGGGAGTACTTTCACCCAAAAGCTCTCACAAGACGCTGAAGGTTAGCAGAATTCAGAGTGCTTGGTACACCTTTCAAAACACTTGAGCCGAGCCATTTTGAGCGGGTCAAACATGCCAAGGCCCTGGCAGAACATGCCGAGAAGACGCGCCAGGCTGCCATGGATTTGGCCCAAGAGGCCCATAGCCAAGTCGCCGGCAGCTTGGGTGAGGCCAGCGGCATTATGGGTGCAGAAAGGAAGCAACGAGCCGCCTGCCACCCCCTTGGTGGTGCAGGTGTCAGCACATCTTCAAGCCGTTGCAACAGACTTGGATGCCGGGCACTTGTGGATTGCAATCAGCGATCATGTTTCACCAATAAGATCATGTTCCTTCGAGTTCAAGTGGCAAAATTTCAGTCTTGCAAAACCATTCCTTCTCCAAATCCCGAGCATGCCCTCAAAATTGAGGGGCATCTTTTGTGCGATGCATGAGCAGCGGCCTAGCAGCTCAGCATCGCTACCACCTACCATCAGCACCAGTGAGGAACTTCTGACTTCCTTAGAGAGTTACTCCTTGGCGACGGGTCTTCTGATGCATCATTTGGCCTGGGAACCCAGTGAGCCCAGCATCCGTGGGATTTGAGCTGGAGGTTTGGCCATTGCTGCTTGGTTTCTGGTTTCGAGGTCCGGGATGTGGCCAGCTTCTACAAGCAGTTTGTCATGGGGTGTTTGGCTGTCGTACCTTGGAAGCATGTTGTCCAGCTCTAGAAACTCTGTCGAGGTTGTTTCATGGGAAGCGCTAGTCTGCCATTTCAGACCCACAATCAAATTATTCTTATGTGCCTCTGTCTGTTGTGGTGATCTCAATGGTGTGCCTGTTGGCCTGTTGGAATGTCAATGCATTCTTCTGGTGCTTCACGGGTTGACTTGAATTCGAAGACCACTGTACACCAGTCAGCCTTGCCGCTTGAGAGGTTGAGCTGCTGTTATCTTCTTGCTGTTGCTACTGTGACTGCTAGCCTCAAAGTATTGTTGCAGCCTTGTGTTTAACAATTTAGAGCCATCCTTTTCCAGGCATGTGTCATGGCGTTCTTGGCTTTCTTCTATGCGTGCTACTTGGAGCAGCTCGGTCAGCAATGTGTCCGGATTTGATGCAGCAAACATGCCCTGTAAAGAGAAAATTACAGACACACACACACATCAAGACCATTGCAGGCTGGTGGTTTCAACATGTTTCAAACTTGGTTTTTAATTTCCTCCTGATGTGGAATGATGATCCCAATTGAAACCAACAATCAGATCAGGTTTGTCTACGAGAACGAGGGCGTGGCGCGCGCTTTTGAAACAGTTGCATGACTCAATATGGATCTCGCGGGACTAGCTTTTGAAAGCAGCAGGTAGAAACGCCGAAGGTTGGAGGCAGATAAACTCTGGGTGGTGCATTCAATGCATTCCGTTTTTTCTGGGACCAAGCCCGAAAAAATCGAGTTGGTTCCCTGGCAGACTCAGACTAAGTGACAATTTCTTGCTATTTCTTGCTACTTCCACAGTTTCGGTGCCAAGCTCCGTCCCAGGATCCGAAGGAGCGACGCGGCTGTTGCTGGAGCTGCGTGACTCTTGGCTGCAGGCTTGGCTTGTGTCATTCCCACGAACCCCATAAAGAAACCCAATGACATTTAAAAATACGTCTCCTTTTGGTGTCTTCTTGCCGTTTGGGCTAAGGAGGTGCATCGGATACATATTTCACTTCTCAGGCAGGTTCTCGGGTTATTTAGCTGTCGGACATGCCTGTGACATCCTGTGACATGTTCTCTCTTTATCATGGTTGTTGGCAATGGCCAGAGGTTGCTAGACTCGGCATTTCCGTCATCCACTCTAGACGCTCTGAAAGGGCTGGTTCCTTTCTTCTGAATTCTCTGGCGAATCTTTGCGTGGCTACAATTTTCACTATATTTGAAATTTAGTTGCAGTACTCGTACCTCTTGAACGGCACTTAATTACTGCTGAGAAAAAACACACGATTGTGGTGTAAACCCAATGCCATAAACCATCCCACCAACATCCACCAACCAACCATTTGGGGCTCATTTTACCGCACGAATTTAAGTTTTTCCAGGTAACTCACTCTGCGACTGCAGGATTTTATGCCTTGATGCTTCTGCAAGATGCAGCTGCGGCCTCAGAGTTTGACAACGTGCGGAGGGTGCGGTTGCGATTTTTGCTGATTGGATTTTGTCACCAAGAAAGCATCAACATGGGATTAATGGGGTGACATAGTTCAAATGACCAGACATTGGTTTTCATTGAAGTTTTGTCCTAGAAACTTCCAAGAGCAATGGAGAATGAGGTGAACCTCTTCCCACACAGCATCACATAGCATCACATAGCATAATTGCTGAAAGAGCAACAAGACTTACCACTTTTGATTTGTTTACAATGCAAACCTGAAGAGATGGTCGCGTTTGTCGACTTAGTTGGCGCGGCTCGAAAGCGTGAACGTTGGCAGCATGCACTTTCTGTCACACAGTCTCCTGCAGTCCATGGAAAGACAGCTGTACCCTACTGGTGTAGTGTCAGCTCCCGGTATCATGCCTATACATGCGATACATGCCCACGCTAAACTAAACTCACATGCACCCACAGAAACCGTTTGAAATCAGACTAAGGTGTCATTGATGTTGGTCGTCATGACACTAGTCATGGGAACTATGAGCCTGGCTCAAATAGGCAAGGGGTCGGTTGATCTTGACTGAGGTTTTCTTGCATCGCGTTGATGGTTTTGAGCTTGATCACCTTTGCCAAAACACAGGTGTGGCTGCTGGCTGCGACAATGCACAGATTCTCTCAGACAATGCGACATGCACAAAAGAGCTCGAAAGACTCGGAGATTTCGCAGCGTGGTTGCACTGTCATCGCCGAGTGGGCAAGAATTTTGCTACCTTTTACACCTTGGCCCTCCTAGTGGCCCTTAGTGACCTCAAGTCCTTCAAGTAGCAGTGGTACCGCACTGAGGTTGGTGGAGACTTACTTCAGGGCCGTAGCTGTCAACAATCAGATATGCTTATGTGCCAGTCCATGCTTGGCGATGTAGCGACTCTTGGGCATGAACTGGGGAATTTCCAGGGATCTCCACAAGGGAAATAGATGAAGAATCCGAAATTGAATGCTGCACCAGCATTGGCCCATGCACAATCCCCTTCAATCCTTCCGAGCGAGTTGTTACTCGTCCGAGTTTTGGCAGTGTTGAGTCGAAGGTTGAAGCCAAACAATAAACCTTGGCGCTCATCGCTCATCCCACTGAGGGTGGTGTACCGGACCATGTGCGCAGCCGTCCTCGGGACCATTGTGATCCTTGGCCGGAAGTGTGCTTTGTTTTGTTCACGCAGTGCATGCAGTTGTGAAGGGATGGAGCACCTCAGGTCCTGTTGCATCCCTCGACGTTTGTTGGTGGTTTGGATGTCCGCACAGCAGAACATCCACACTGCAGAGGCAGTGGGCAGGGTGTGGCAGTTAGGATGAACATTTCTGCAGTACTTCAAGCTGTTTTGGACGACATGCCGCGAAAAAATAGCAGTTGGAGTTGGGGAATGAAGTCGATGAATGAATCCACTTTTCTGATTGGCTCCATGTAAGGCTGCAAGATGACAAAAGGTTCGCTCCATTTCCTGCTGATCGGTTTGCCTAAATGGGAGCAGTATAACACAACATGGCAATGGTCCGTAACTGTCCCTAACCTTGGGACCCAATGCAGCATCAAATGGAGCCTGATAGGTACTTGCAGACATTGACCGAACGAAGCCACCAGCCGGTGTCCTTGGACTCCAGGGGAATTGGGAGAGAGCTGAAGTCTTTATGACACCAGCTCTGCAATCATTGCCAACATTTGTCCACTTGATATGGATATACATCCCTGGAATTGTGTGGAATTGTGTGGAATTGTGAATTGCGGTATACCGAAAGTCCCGGGTGGAGTTTTGCATGCCAAAATTGCCTACCTTCTCTGTCTTGTCCAGTGTCGGTTTTTCAGAGTGGCTGGGAATACGACTATGGAAGAAGCCTCAATGTTCGTCAAACCGGAGTAGGATTCATTGAGGGAGGACCCGACGGCACTTACCACAAGAACATCACCAGGTTTTTGTAATTTACGGCACCACTTAGTGTCAACCTGTAGCGTGGGGCCATACTTCACGCCTCCCAATGTCGTTTGAGCCCAGGAGTATCCTGCCTACTCTGTGCCATGAGACTGAGTCAGATGTGTGGAAAAAAAGAGCGATGACTTCAGAACAAGTGTTCTCAACATCTGGCCATTCGCGCGAAAGGTTTTTGACCGAGATGAGGAGACCAATCAGATCCAATCGGTATGAATAGCATGGGGAATCAGGGCACTGCAATGCAAGGCGAGTATAAATCAGAGACTATGCCTGACCCCCAGAAAGACCACGGAAAGACTGGCAGGCAGCTGACTGGAGGCTTGGGGCTGGCAAAGTTGGGTGAGGAGATGCTGGTTGCAAAACTTAAACGGGGAAATACCAAGTGGATGGAGGTTGAATGTTTCTAGGATTGAAGTGCTCCCTTTGACTGTATACAGCTACAAGAAATCCAGAGCACTTTGCTCATGATATCTTTGGAGATATTGGACTACCATGGACTATCTGTGACTATCCGTGTGGGATCATATGGGCGCGTCCCAAGTTCTTGAGATCTCTAAGCCTTCTCAAATAGAGACACCAATTGAAGCTGGGGCAGCCAGGTTGGAGGAGCGGACTGAAGCTGGGGCCTTGGTGGATGTTCCACCTGTCCATCCAAGTCCTGCATTTCGAAAGAAAATAAAGCATACCTTAAGGGTTTCTTCAAGTTAGTTTCTTGATCGGTGATGTTAGGGGTTCTTTAAGTTAGTTTTTTGATCGATTGTATATGTTCAAAACATTTCAAAACCATCACCGCAGCAATGAGGATTTCGAAGCTTTCTTGCAGACGCTTAAGGCTGGTGCACGACCATGAAGCGGATCTTCCATAAACAGCTTGTCGCAGTTTCGTGATGAGAACGGGTGCCCACAGGGATTAGCATTTCAGTCAAACAAAATGCAGTATTCAATGTAATAATGCAGTCAAGGAAGCATCCTTCACTCATAAGTTGCATGTTTCCTTTAGGACAGTACAGTGTTTCTTTCAAGAAGCAGTATCCTTGCAATTCATGGAGCAGTCCTCTAAAAGACGCGATGTAAGGGATACTGTACCATTTGAGGAAGATTGGCTGCAAAGATTCAAGATGATACAGAGTAGCATGCAAATAGATATACTGTTTTACTGATTACTGTGTTCCCAAGCTGGGCGCCTAAAGCACTGCTCAATACGATGTTCTATGATGTTCTATGCTCATTTTTTCTGTGCAAAAATGCATCCCCACCAAGACTGAAGATTACATTTTTGATATGTCAATTCCAGCAATATGTCCTAAACATGATCTTTGATCAGCTCGGGCAGGTTCCTCTCCTGAAAGCGTGCGATAAAGAGCTTTGCTTTGAGCTGTTGAAGCAGGTGCTCAACTCAATGGCTGGTCTGAAACATGTCATTTGGAGAGCTGATGGGTCAACATGTCCAACATGTCATGACTTTAGATACTTTAGATTGGTGAATATCGGGGACCGAAAATGAGATGATTGGTGTCTTCAATTTTGACATCCAAACAGCAGAGGCCAACATGGTGCAGATCCCAGCGGGAGGCCGCTTTGGCTAATGGGAGGGGCTGAGAAAACAAGAGAACAGAGGAAGAGATGTACCAAAAACAGCAAACTTTGTCAAATCAGTGAGATCAGTGAAGGCAGTATCAGTATCACCCACAAAAAGATGTCGAACAAGTCTGGTATCCCTTGTTTCGGAGAGTATTCCTGGATTACGTTGCACATCCTGGTCAGATGCAGTGTTTGCAAGTTTTGGGCACGATAAGGATGATAAGGTCGTTGGATCGGAAACCGAAATGTGTTAGAAGCTAAAAAACCGCCAAAGCAGCAGACACGAAAATTCGCTTACAGAAGGTCTGGGTATTTAGCCGGTACCCTTGATCACAAAACTTCCCAACCGCATGGTGCCTTTTCCAGGAGGAGATGGCATAGTGCCTTTGTCCTTTGCATTGCCAGGACAGGTCGTCGAGATGCTTGAAGGAGTGCGGACACTGAGCAAGGCACCGTTTCCTTTTTTGGACATGTCGGACATGTTCAGAATTCTTTCTGGTAGATAACCTTAGTCTAATAGTCTAATAGCAGAGATCTGAGCAGCGACAAGGACTGTTCATTCCTTTTCCATTTTGATGTATCCAATGGGTATCCAATGACAGACCCACACTCTTTGCCAAGGATTCGGCACCGCTCTACATCATCCTGAAGGCCTCTCCATACCTCAATGCCACGTCACTGCACGTGTTGTCGCACCGTGTTGTCGCACCGTTGCGTTATGTAGACGCCATTGCCAGGGTGCCATCGGCCGCTATGCGGTGGAGGTGCCGGATGAAGCGACAGAGGACTGGGACTTGAACGTTGAAGGGGCAAGGCAAAGCCCACTGGATCTTGGTTCTCCAGCAACTATTTGGGGGTTGTTGGGGGTAAATGCAAACTACATCTTCCAGCAGAAATTACTAACCCAAATTGACAGATGCTGGGTGAAGCTTTCTGTCAGGACATTGGTGACTCGAATGTTCCGATGGAGCATTTGGAAGATGCCAAGCGACAAAGTGAGGAGTGAGGAAATCATTCCCTGCTGTCCTGTCGCATGTGCATTTATGCTGGTATATTCACAGTTTATGTGCATCATAGTCTAGTAGTAAACTATGTGTTAGAATGTGTTAGAAACACTATGATATGTCTACATTACATTGGCAAAACAATCAGGATTTGGTTTGTATATTCTAGATAAGTTGATATATAAATATTTATGTATACGTATATATATATATATATATACACGTGTATATATATATATATACGCGTAATTCTAATTCGTCGTGAAACCAACCATAGGGTTAAGCGACGAACGACGGGTCGCCTCAGGAGATTGCCTCGAAGCGTCGTCGTTTGGTCAAAGCCACTGAGGAACTCGAAGAGTTGAAATCCAGGCGACACATGCGACATGCGACAGCACCAAATTGTTGACGGCCTGATGGATGTTCATGGTAGATTCATCCGGTGAAAGTGTCCTGGTTTAGTGGGATTTGTTTGTGAGTTGGAATCATCATGAGTTATATATACTGAAAAGACATCGATCGCATGTTATTAAAAAACGGAACTAAATGTGGTCGCTCCTATTTTTTTCCACGACTTTGACTTGTACAACTGCCTGAGGCATCGCCGTGTGGCCCCTTTGGATCGACCCCTGCAGGAGAATGGCGACCGGAAAGACCGGAAAACAATTATTGAACGCGTGAGAGACTCCGAGACTCTAGCGTCTAATCATGCTTCAATATCATGTGGCGCTAGACATTCTGCGGCTTACTGTGAGTGTATGTCCTCACCAATCAAAAAGCTGAGATTCCGTGATCTCCAAGGCTCGAGTCCCCTGTAACACCTGTTTCATTTTTGATTGTGGTGGGCAGGAGAGTCTCCGAGTACATTTCTTGATGAAGCTTGTGACGGAGCTTTCTGGAGAGTTGCAGGCCTTGCCCGAGGCCATGGGTTGCGGCAGTTGCGCCTGGTCGCTTTTCTGACCGAAGTGCGACTGGAGGTGAGATTGAAACAGAACTGTACATTCTGTACGAAGAAAATGGTCATTGAACAAACATGAGAGGATTGATGGATTGACATCATGGTGGTTTTCCAAGGGCAGCACCTCAGGGTCATCAGCACTGTGTGGGAAATTGTGAGGCGGATCTACCAGAGCGAAGAGGCGGATGCACAAGAAAGATCGAGAGTTACTGGATACGTGATGCATGTTTACGAGATTTTATGATCTTGATATATCCTGATAGTTTAATTTAATTATGTTTAATTGAGGAATAACTACAGCTATTGGTTTTGGATGGTTTTGGTAGGTCTGTGAATTTGACCCATGCTCAACCATCAGGGGAGGCGCTGCGGGAGCCTATAGATAGCCATACCGCAGCAGATGGCAAGGTGCGGATCTGTGTGGAATGCCACCAAGTTACAATCTTGCTTCCCAACAGGCTAGTTAGGTCAAGGTAGGCCGTGGACTTCTGTGGTGGGGACCTAGGTGCACGGCGCTGGAGTGTTCCTGACTTCACCAGGCAGTGGATATTCTACCGCATCGCCACAGGGAACAAATCCAGTTGGAAAATATGAGGTGCAGTCAACACAGATATCTCAGATACATGAAGGTTGTGACTCTTGCAACGTTCCTGACATGATATCTCTATGTATCACATGCTAGCAGCGCAGTTGATGCTGACCTTCCCGACGAGTCTGACGAGTTGGAGGTGCAGAAGGGAACAGTCGGGTAAAGTTCGCAGCCTTTGAAAAGTGGGCTGGACTTGGTGGCCACTTTTTTTTTCCTATTCTCTACCCCTGACACATTGCAGACTATGTCAGACATGTTGAAGTCTTTGGAACACGTGGTTCGTCCACAGTTTTCGATCTGAGAGGACCTTCTGGACAAAGCTGTGGCGGAATACTACGAGGGCGACAGCTTCGGATGGGAAGCTGCCAGTGCCGCTTGCCGCTACGTAGCTCATCAGGAGCTGGGTCTCACTGTGCCATGGCGAGCGACTGAGACGATTTCCTTGCAAAAAAAACAATTGAACATCATTGAAGTGCATCCCAGAATCAGAAGTTGAGAGATGTCAAGCAGTGATTTAGTTGTTAGAACAAGTCCATTCAGAACTCAGAACTCTATTGCTCTGCAACCACATGTCAGGATGGGTGTGGGTCAAAATGGGGTACAGTCCCCTGAAGTCTAAGGACCTACAATCACCGATCCATTTGTCTTTCAGGTCTTGAACGGCCAGTCCCACAATAGCGGTCGAGCTTTTTATTTATTCATTTCCACCCGATTGTTCGGTTATCGTTGGGATATCTGTTGGGATCAACTGATAGTCCACAGACTGGAGTTTATTGGCTTACAAAAAAGGCAACAGTAAGAAATAAACGGAATAGTAATAGTAGTAATAATATAAGCTTAATTATCATTATCATTGTCTTATTAGCAGAATCGGAATAGTAATAGTAGTAATAATTATGATGACAACGATGGTAATAAGATGAAATATCAACGACATCCGGTAATAAGCATAATCGTGAATCGACAACTACTTAGTATAATAAGAGTACTTCTAGTTGCTAACACTAAAATCAATGAATGCTGATATCCTAAGATTTCGAAGTGATTTTTCCCAAAGTTAAGTTTTTGTCCATCCCTATTATCCCATGAGTATCCCCATTAATTAAACCATGGCGTAAACAGACCCACCGGCTGCGGCAGGATGCGGCGCTGCTGGTGCTGCGCCATGATGACCTTCAGTGTGCAGAGGAGCTCTGCGAGGGCCGGCGGAGGCAGCAACGAGGCACGATTAACGAACGACGTCGTGGCATGGCGTGGCTGGGTGGTGGTGGAATTGCCAAGAAACCTGTGGGAAAACAGTGGGAAATGAGTGGGACACGTTTTTTTCTCCCGATGTATCGTAGAGGTGGAAGTATCTTGAAGTGTCTAAAACTAAATATAAAGACATGGTGATATGAAGCAGCCCAAAGGTAAGGATTTTGGCTATAATCTTGAAACGGGGGTAGAAATCCATGAAGAACGGATGTTTTAAGCAGTTCTTTGGGTGAGTTCAACTAGCAAACTCGGGGAGATAGGTCTATGATATGGTTTATGATCTATTGTTTAATCAGATTTCCAGGATACCATTTGATGGCTCCTAAGTTGGGTATCTCCTTGAGCAGTGCTGCTGCTTCCCCCACACCTCCACATGGTCACTTGGTCAACCTCGGTAGGGCAGTTTCTCCAGCGTTGCCTGGGGGATGAAGATGTGGCTATGCGCTTGCTGCCCCTCTTCCGGGAGGAGCCACCGTGAGCCACTGTATCCGTGAAGCGTGATATGGAAAGATCAATGGACTGGGGATTTATCATGATTTATCTATTCATCATGTAGTCTATATAGTCTTAGGACCACTAATGAAGGACCATGGGATTTAAAGCAAGTGTACCCCATTTCTTTCGGGGATCCATCATGTGTTTGAGCCATCACTAAAAATAGCCGATGCCAAGCAAGTTGGTCCGGTTGGTCCCTTCCTGAAGGACTGGAGAGCTTACAACACCCAACTGGAAAAATGCAGACCCAAGAGAAATCTCTAGGTGGATGGACTTGAAACGCCGCGTTAGATATACCTATGGCATTATGGGAGTGAAAGGACACAAGGTAGCAGCGATTTAGCCGTCAACAGTTGAAAGACACCGAGACCGAGAGCACACTTTCCCAAGTTTGGCCGAAGGAGCGCAGTCATAGAGGCACAGTCCTTGTGAAGGCTCTTGGTCTCTTGCTGTGGCAAGGGCGTGAAAGTTGGATTTGAGATGATTCAGTCTGATTCAGAGATTTTTCAGAAGACTTGACCAAAACACATTTAACAATGAGATTAAACGGATTTAAACGGATCCAAAATGATTAGGGGTGACAATACAGATTGCTCTACAGCCAACTGACAGTGCCCTCTTGGCAGTGACTTGGATTTTCCATTCTGAAGTCAACCTTGGCTTGTGCAAAACGGTCTATAACGGTCTCAGAGTTGGATCATATATGGACCCAATGAGCCAGGTAAAGTCATTAAGTTCTTCCAAGTCCACTTAACATGGCTTTGCACAACTCCGACCTTGCCAGGCTGGATCTGTTCCCACCAGCCTTTGGCTCATCTTATCCGGCAGCTGCTCACAAGCGCGGGAACTCGTGAGTTCTCAAGGGGGTTCAATGGATGCCATAATGATGGCCGCTCTTTTGATGGAACGAAAGAAAGTGGAAGCCATCGTTGTGCGTGCAGGATGCTTCAACATAACTTCCATAGGTTTGGGCTCAGCAGACGTAGTGAGGGCCATGCAGAGAAACAAAATCAAAGATCCAAATCATCCAAATCCGACCATCATGAAGCCATCCAAAATTTTCTTCAAAATGATAGGGGCTCAAAAATGAAGCAACTTTTTTACTACGCTCTCTAAAGAAATAAACGTATTGCCAATTTTCAGGCAAAAACTGGGTCAAGGACTTTTTTTGGACGGCCTGCAAGGTACCTTTGATACTTTTCAGTACCGATGTCACCTATCTATGCCGCCCACTTCATATGCAAAAGCAGGTGTGTTTTTTGAAACTCACAACCAGACGAAACCAGAGATCCCTTCCTCAAATTTCCTCAAGAAACCGCTGCAATCCTTGTTCTGAGGTGAAAGAAGTAGCAACTTGGCACAAAGCCTGAGAGCACAGCTATTCTGCACATAGTCACACAGTGCAACGAACAGGAAATGACCGCAGACCTTGGATGGCCCTAGCTTTGAGCCGTTGTCAATAGTAGGCAGCCAGAATTCTGTCCTCAGCTGGTTGTGGCGGAGGGTTTTGCTCAGATTCAAGGAATCCAAAGAGACTCATGGAAGGCACAGCTGCAGACTCCAGGGTGGTGGGGGGGACCTGAGATCTGCATCAATGGTTTTTGAAGCATCGATGGAGTTGGACATTTGGACTGCTACCTTAAAAAACAGGGATTTTAAGCTGGGAATTGGCGTGCAAATCCGTATGATCATGTCATTACCTTTCAATTCAATATTTTTGATTTTGATACTTGAGGTGTGATGTATCCAAAAAACTACATGATACAATGCCATAAGTGATGCAAAATATGATACACCCAACCAAACTACCGGAACGTCAGAAATGTAGATTTTGAGAGCTTGAACCGCAGACTACCGCAGCCAGGTTTCGGCGCACTTCCCTGGGGGTATTGCAAGAAGGGCAGTTTGTGGGGTTGTCTGGCTCTGAGCGAATGGCACTCGAACATACCTCATTTTGTTCAATGCCCCCAGCTAGAAACCATGAAACCTTCATTTTTCAGCTAACCATGTTTGAAGGTGGATACAGCTGCCGCCCCCGCAGCCTCTTAGGACCTCTCTCCTACTGCAGCAGCCCGAGCCCTTGACCGTCATCTGTGCAACAGAGGCCTTCGTTGTGATCAACTGATGAGCTTTGTGGTTTGAGGTGGCCGTTGTTTTGATCAATTGGTATAGGAGGCAATGCAGGATTGCCACTTCAGTGGCAACTAGTTCATTGAACTGGCCTGGAAAGTGTTGGAATTTTGCCTTTGCAAAGAACTTTCTGTTGTACTTCGGTTTCGTTTGTTTGGAGGTTCAGCTGCTGCGAGCGGACAACCTCTCACCAGCCAAGCTGACTCCCAAGGTCATTGAGGCTGGTTCTCTGGTTCCGGCCACAGGTTCACACCTGAACATTGATTGTCATCCAATACCTGCAAATGTCAGTGTTTGGGACAAAGAACCCGTGTCCCGTTTGAAGGTGGAAGTGAGAAATGCATCATCTTCCAAATCCAGTTGCAGTGCTTGTGTGAAACCACAGCCACTGACACCATCCTGTTCCAAGCGATCACTCATTTCTCGATGGTTGGAAGGTTCTAAAGAGTGCCTTGCGACAGAAGGGTGCATGGCTGTCCCAGCGTCTTGAGACTTTAGCTGAGCTCCCGGCCAAGCTTGATGCGAAGGCCATGACGGCCATGCATGTTCCCAAGTGATCAGCAAATGCCACCGCTGACTGGGTGTGATGTGGGATCATGCTATATATATATACTGATGGGGAGTCTGTTGCTATAGTTTCTTGGAGTGTAGTGGCCTTCTGAGGGTCTTTGACATTGATCAATTGATTTTTCGGCACTTGGATTACTTGGATTACTTGGATTGGAATGCTAAGTGGGTATGGGTCAATACCTATGAATACAATTTTTAGTGGGATGAACATCCATTTACCAGCTATTTTGATGTTCACCAGGGGGATAGGGTTTTGACACACTCCCAAGTGACTTCCTTGGTTCATCAGTTGATCATTACCAGGTTACCAGGAGCTACCTTGGTATGTCATCTCCCGCTGTGCTGGCCGAGGCGGAACGTCTTCGCCGCGAGCTGTACGAGGCCAGGGTGCCACTGGTCTCCGACTCGCCGTTCTTGCGCAGAAAACACCAAGCCTTGCTGCCAGGTGGGGCCAGTGGAAGGGGGATGGTTCAAGGATTGGTGATTCCCAGGGCTAAGATGGCAGAAGCTACTCATGACAGCACTTGGGTCTCCATTGATGGTTGGTCTTGCAACAACACTTCCAAAGCGCCATATATCTGTCTGATCGTGCAGATTTTCACAGTCAGCTGGGAAATCGTTGCATTCTTTTGAGTTTGTTTTATTTTTTCCTCTGCAGCCATGGCTCAAGCCACTTTGGCTCTTTTCTCAGTGGTTAATCCACTGATCAATGTCAGTCCGATAGTGACTCGCCGTTGCCCGTGGTTGAAACTATCATCTACTGGGCACCGCTGTTCGACTCACCTCTAACGCAGCATCTTGGCAGCTGGAAGCTGTTTGGATATCCCCTGACAGAACTTGGCATCCTATTGGGGTTCAAACTCAGCACTTCTTTTTGGACACGGTTGGGCTTAGGATCGCTTAGGCTTTGCTGCTTCTTGCATCACTCTGGGGCCTACGATTCTAGGAATTTCTGATATCTTTGACCTGGAAGCGTCTAGAGTCTACCTGCCCAAAGGCCTGCCCTGCCCCAAGGCAATCTTCATAGCCGCTCGGTGGCGAAACCTCTCCTGCCATGGAGTGCTTTGCGGGTGTAGCCGCTGGTGGCTTCGCAGCCAAGGTGGCCAGCGGCCAGCCGGGTGTGGCAGCTGGGAAATTGGCTTTGAAGACCACTGATCAACCAGCAATCAATGCATCAATCAACACCAATGAAACATAACTGGGCAAAACAATCTCCCTGATCTCTCCTGATTCTTTGTGCTTCAGCTGTCACCCCCCAAACACTTCCGTGTTGAAAGATTGGTCCATTCACTTGGCGTCGCTGGCAGGAAGCTTACCAATACAATCGAGAGAACTTTCTTTATGACAGAAACTTGCGCCGACGAAAGGAGTTCCAGGCCTGGCTTTTCGCGGATCGGCGACAGCTGCGCTGTTTAGGGTTTTAAACGGTTCAGAGTCAGCTACCCAGTACCATGGTAGATTGCACTATTGTAGAGATTCCCAGGAAGAACCCAACGATCCAGGTATTTTGACCAGCGGGGTGCTTCCGAACAATCACCCCTTTTGCCCAAGGTGCAGAAGTTTCGAGTAGAGCAAGCTGAATTGTGGCGGACTGACGTGCGGGATCTCATATCCCTGACAGCCACTTGGCAGAGGGCAATTTTTCAAACCTTTCCCAAGGGAGAACAACAACAAGGTATCTTAAAACAAGGTATCGTCTTAATGTGCCAATATACGTGATAGCTACACGCTTTTCCACGAGAGACGTATTTGTTGCAGCTCCAATTTTTGGCATGGTTAGCCTGAACTCAGGAGTACAAGATGCACGTGTACCTTTTGGTAAATGTGCTTTTGCTGGGCATCACAGTGGCACTTTGGTGTCAAGGAAAGTTGCCACACACAACTCCAGCTGCTCAACTGCAACTGGCATTTTGGAATCTATAATCTATCTATCTATCTTATCTTATCTTATCTTATCTTATCTTATCTTATCTATCTATCTATCTCTAAAGAATAAATAAATAACTAAATAAATATGTACATATATATATATACACGTATAGTCATCTAGAATTAGAATCCGTTTGGACTGGGATCAACAGTGGCTCACTTTTCAAGCCAGAGCCATGCCGAGGTTTGGTTGATGACCGGAAACGCCCTGTCAATGGCTGGGTCGTTTTCCTTCATTTTGCTGTCCATTTGGATGGCGATGAAGCTCGGCTCAGGATCTTTTTCATTCTTTTTCCTTTTATTTTCTAATCACTTGATGGAAAGCAGTCACAACAGATCGTTTGGGATTCCCGAAAATGAGAACAGATGCGCTTCGGATCTTGAAAGAATATTTGCAAAGCATGACCTTGTCGTGGCTCCATTGGCAGCCCATTTTCATGCCGCCATTCCCACTCTCAGGCACGCAGCTGTGTCGGCGCAAGCCTTTGAGACGCGCTTGCTGACGCAGATGGTGCGTTTGCCCATCCCCTCTTGGCAGGCGGGGAGGTAGCTAGGAGGTCAGGAAACTCTGAGGATGTAAAGAACGCACGGATCTTCAACGTCAAACAGCATGTCCTTTGGCAACATCAGATTCTGCTCAGGAAGTCGAAGCTTGCCGAACCTATGCATCGGAATTTGAACGCCTAGACGCGAAGCAGATGTTCAGCACCTTGGATGAGTAGGATTGGCTTGACTGGCTGCGTTGTGCACCTTTCTGTGGGTGCATGTGCAAAGCGAGTTCTTGTTCTCAATATCAATGTTAGTCATTTTCCTGGGAGCTTCTAGGATAAAGCTGCAAATCATTAGGTGAAAGCATCATGCTCTTCGTTGCTTCATCACCAAGTTGGATTTCGTGACATTTTTGACGCTGTGTAGGAATTCCCTTTGTTACGGGCAAGCAAGAGAGTTGGGTACCTCCAGACCCTGGTGTAGAAGGAGAAGAGACACCAAGCACTCGCTCAAGGAGCGGGGGGGGGGTTAGCAGATTCTGCAGCATTTTCACTATTTCACTATTTTGACTATCAAGCATGCCGTTGTAACATGTTGTAACATGTTGTAACATGTTGTAACATGTAACAAGGGTATCTAGTTTTGACCCCCGCACATGAAAATTCGTCCCTCAGGCGGCTCCTGGCAGAGACTCACGTGGATCCGTGGGGACTGGAGGGCACCGGCTCCAACGTGCCAGAGCTTGGCGCCAGAATGGGCCATGGTGATTTGGCCGCAGCATTGGTCTCCATGATGTGATGGATAGGTTTGGGCAAAGTCTAATATGCTGCTGTACCATTACAATACTAGTAGCTGAATCACAACATCATTGGATCATCATTGGATCATCATGAATCACGAATCCAATACTAGGAGCTGGAAAGCAAACTGCTCCAGACTTGACCATTGAACATTGAAAACAGAGCTGGTTTCCGACCAGAATCCCTCAAGGCATGCACAAGTATCGCCATGTGAAGCTGGCCCGTCAAGCGATGGCGTTTTGGCAAAGCTACGATGCCTTTGCCAGGACCGAACCGGCAGCCTGGGAGGGTTTTTATGGACCCCCAGTCATGGTCATGGTTGGTTCATGGGATGGTTGATGTTTGTTGGGTTTATCAGTGTATCACTTTAATGTGGTGCCAAGAATAACCCCCTAGGTGGGGATTGTTCTATCAACAATTATTGGGTTTAAAGTTTAAATGGTTTGCCACATACGGAAGCAAACAAATTTGATGCTACACTTGTGAGACTGCGGGCAATTTCACACATCAACACATTTGAACCGAATCTCTACAATCCGCCCTGAATGTATTCTTGTGGGATCTGGGCTGCTCCAGCTCGGGTGCAAGAACGCAAACACCTCAAATCAACAATATTTGTGCAACCGGCGTGCAACCGAAGCTGCAACACAGCACTTGGCTCTCCCATGTTTCGCTATGATACGACCATGGCGCCTCAGGATTTGCATGAGCATTGGAGTCAACCAGCTCCTCAATGCGGCCAGTTACTTCATCTTGGCCTACTACATGACTGAGGCCAAGCCGTTCGTTCGTTCGTTAGAGCAGAGAACCGATGACGCCGATGAGGGTTTGGTTCACTTTGCCCACCAACACACAGATCCTCCAGGCAAAAGTGCCCTCCTCCGCCACTTATGGTGTTGTGGTGCTGACGACCATGGCTGAGACGTTGAACCGCTTAGATATGTGTGAAGCTCAACTGGTTTGTAAGGAAGCTCAATGGATGTGCAATCCTCATTCCGTGATTTTTCAAGGATTCAAGGCCAATCTGTCTAGATTTCATGGTTTGTTCCTTTTTAAACGGCTTGAAGTGCTCTTGTCCGTCTTCCGTTCCAAACCGCAAGTCATCTGTGCTGCTTCCTTCCTTAGGTCGTTGAATTGGTGGCAACTGCGGCTCATGCAATTGCCCGGATACCCAGAGCAACAGCTTTTCTTACAGAGCCCTTTCTCACGCTGAAGTGCCCACAGTCAGAGGAGTCCTTATCCTACTTCCATCCGAGTGGGTTATTCTGAAAATAGGATACCTCTAAATCTCACAGCCAATCATCATGTTCCCCATTAAACTTGCTATTTGCGCTATGCCTCAAGTTTAGGCAACCCCAAGTTGTGGCCCCAGCCATCGCTAGGTTTCTCTACCTTGGGCCAGCCATAGCCACCATGGCCGGTTGGGCCTGGGTGGAAGATGGATGGGAACTCACTGCTGAAGCCCTGGTAGTCTGTGCCTTCCTGGCGAACGCCTTGTAGCGCAGCGGAACAATACAGGGATGGCTATTGGATAGGTCAAAATTCAAAGCAATGGGAAGAGGAGATTTGGGTTGCTTTCAGTTTTCAACTGTAGCTATTTATGTTTTGGCCGTACCAAAATGATCAGTCCAAGTGAGATACTTGCAGTTGCAAGACCAAGAAGGCAACCAATGGGCCGGGCTTTTGATTTCGGGGTCTGGATAGCAATTGATGACCGGTTAAGATTTTCATTCTCATACCATCCACTGCTTGACAGCATCTGGGAAACTCGGGATTACCAGCTGCAATCTTTAAACATCTTCAAAATCCACGGGATGCTGCCCAAAACTCTTGGCTCAGGTACCTGTTGACTGTGAATACTCTTTGCCACATGCATCTGGAACATAATGGAGCTATGCTCCCCTCGGTTTTCCGTTCGGTGCTGTACCTGGATGTCTTTGGATGGTCCAGTCAGGTGCGGCTTGGGGGTCCAAGTGATGTTTTCCTCTGTGAGTTCACGATTTGTATGAATTTCAGGTGTATTAATTGGCCAAACGGTCAGATTGAAGAGATGTCAAGTCAAGGCCGATTGAAGAATTAGAAACGGATATTTGTGCTGGAACCTTCGAGAACTGTGCTTCCGGCCTGGTGTGACTTTGACTACCCATAGCCATCCAAGTTTATCCGTCAAACAAATTAAATCCTCCTGCAATTGAACAAGTATAGACCACTACCCATATCCCATCTCATTATACTATAGTTGGTTGATAGGTTTCCCCAATATGGATTATAAGTTGTAATAATCCCCAATCATCAGGTAGTTCTTCATCACTTCATCCACAAACAAAATCCACCTCTGCGGCGCCCCGTTTCATTTCATGGCCTCTGCAGGCACGGTATCACCGCGAATTTAGCCCCAGAGTCAGCACACCGATGACGACCGAGTCATCTCCTGTGGCTTGGAATAGTTGGGATGTGACCAACAAGTCTTGCTGGGGCCACCAACATTCATTGCCACAGGGCGGCATCAGCGCGCGTGGCCCTGCAGCCTTAGCGATGACGAAGCCAGCTTCAGCCACTTGCTGCAAGGGATTGGGCCAAGTGCCCATGATGGTTCCAACGCCGTGCATGCTGCATGCAGTGTGTGAAAAGTTTAGACATTTTACTGGCAAGAGAGGACCTGCACCTTTCTAAGCTGTGAGACATTAAAATCTTTGGAGATAGTTCAGGCCACACACATACACACTCGCTATCTAAAGCATCCAGCTATCTGGTCTATAAAGTCTAATGTCATCTGATTTGATCCAATCTGATCTATTTTTCTCCATCTATAAAACGCGTAGATTGATGATCATTGATGTACATTGATGTACATAGTGGCTATAAGTTATGCAGTTCTGACGGTCTGAAGCCCTCCGCCTTTGAAAAAGGCCATGGTTCAGCACAGCCTGGGCCGTCCGGTGCCGCGGCGCCCGGAGCTGGCGGCCGCGCCGGCGGATTTCCAGGACGCGCCCGGGGCGCCGGACGTGGGCGAGCACGGCGACAACCCTGTGACCTGGCGGAGCTGGCGGAGCTGGCGGAGCTGGCGGAGCGAAGGATGGGAAAAAATGGCATTTTTGAAGTGCTGCCAACACAGCAGACTTCTCCATTTTTTCATTTTTTGGGGCAAAAAAAAGGGAGACTAAAACCACTGGCCGATGTCTTAAAGATGATTGGCCGATTCCACAGTAAAGGTTGTGATGGACTTTTGTCTATGGAAGATTCCGGTTTCATAGCATCCGTTGGAGCAGGGAAATCGAGGGACATGTCCTTGATGTGATGCAAAACATCGTTTTTAGATCAGAGTCCAATTGATCTTGGTGTGCAGAGTTTTGTCCTTTGCGAAGGACAAAAAGAATCCAACAACTTACATTTGTAAACATATGCGAAGGTGGTCAAAAATTCCTCCCACATCACCCCCTTCGTCCAACATCTTTTACCCGGATGATGCATGATCTCAGGTCACTGGTTTCTCTGAGTTCTACAAGGCCGAAGGCTGGCTGAGCACCACCAATGACATCCCAGATGAGGACGACATTGTCTCTGGATGTAACTTGGCACTTGAGATGAACCATTTTTTTTTGTTAACCGCTCTATATTAGAGATGATTCTCATTGATTTTTGTCAATTGTGATCCAGTTTTTTTTTGTTGATTGGATAAGGACTTGACAAGCAGATTCTTCCGTTACCTGAGTTCTCTTGGCTCAAGATGTTTCCCTTGGTTTCTGAGGTGAACATCAGGGTGCGATCAAACTGCCCAGGCAGACCTTCTCTTGTGCCATGAACTTGCCTCCCGGTTTCAGATGGCAGGACGCTGTGTGCTTTGGACATGTCCATGGGATAATAATGGGATAATAATGGGATAATAATGGATAATAATGATTGGATAATAATAATAGTAAATGATATATATATATATATTATATATATATATATATATAAATTGGACAATACATGATAATCAAAACCCCTTCCATCCCGAAATTGAAACTTGATGAAACACCGACGAAGGCAGGCAGAGCGGGGAAGAAGTGAGGTGTTGAACAGGCACTGCATGCTGCAAATGGACATTCGTGGAATGGCAAACCTGTTGCAACAGAATATCTTCAATGAGTGTTTGCAAAAAATCAGATGGGGAGGTAGCTAGCAATGGGTCCGTGTTGATGACTGGAATGCAGCCCAGGCTGTGCCTCGCTTGGATCATCGCAGCCTTCTATTTTGCGTTCGTCATCTCAAAGGTGGGGGTTTTCATCTTGATGCACTGACTTATCTTGTTCAGCCATCATTTGAAACGTTTTCAATATTCGGGGGTAGATATCCATGACAGATGGATACACTGGATAGGCACATAGATTTCGCGTCATTTAGCTTTTCAGTCAGTTGCACGAGCATTGCAGGCGACACTGGTTCAAAAGCACGCCTTCTTTGAGAGGACCAGACCGGGCTTACGCACCCGTGGCAGCACATAGTACTTACCCAATCCGTCAAATTTCGGTCTCCCACAAAGAGGAACTATTACAGGAACCCCAAACACACATTAATAAACTTGAACTTGTCTCAAATGTCCAGAAAGGTCTTAAAGTGAGCAGAGGAGAATGTTCGGGCACGAACCACTTTGAAAGGCAGTACAGCAACGATGAAGGAACTTCTTGGCACAACTTGGATGGTGGAAGCTGGTTGGAACTGAGAAATGACGAGCTATTTTTGGGGTACAATACCGTACCGGCAAATGACTTGACCATTCACTGGATTGGTTTACGGGAAAATTTACAGGAAAGCCCTATATTTCATGGGGAGAACCATGGTTTCCTGTAGGTTTTCCCTTCAACCAATCCAGCGAACCATCCTTTGCTTTCAGGCGACAGGCATCTTCCCAGCCTACTGGGCTTGATGGAGGTGGAGGAGCATTTGGCCACTGAGGACTGGCCATGCTGGGACTTCGGGTTCAACTTTGGATGGCCATGGGGAGATTAGTCGAATAGTAGAAATGTATGAGGAGTTCAATCAGTTCGACATTTGTATGGACACTATTATTATTATCCAATTATGAGAAATAGTAGAAATGTCTGGTTGTTTTTGTCCTTTGCCTCTGACATTTGATCTTTTCGTTCTTACGTTCCATGGGTTTCCGCCCAGTAGAAAAAGGACCTGCTGAGAGTTTCCTGGCCACACGAAAATGTCCTGCAGCATGGCGTGAGCGGAGAGATCGCGGATGGGGAAATTGGTTTTCAAACGCCAAACGCTTTCCCCAAAAAATACATTACCAGGTTACCATCCTTCGCAAAGAAATGCACAGAGGATGTCTGCCAATTTTTCACACTGAAGCGCGAGATTTTTCCAATTTTTCCAACAGGAAGTGGTTCATGTGTTGAATGTGCATGGGCACCTTGTTGTAAAGGGAGTTCGTGATCCCATGGTGCAATATCTGAGGCCTCAAGCTTTTGCTTGCGATGCCGACGGCAGACAGTTTGTGGTTTCAGATGCTTGGAGCAAGTTGGGTAACGGAGTGAACAGTTGGGTAACTGTTTAGTCCGGTGGTTTCAACTATCTTTTCTTTTCAAGATCCCCAATGGCTAATACTTTTCAGATGGGTGGGCACCACCAACCAGGTAAGGGAAAAGCGTCCAATGGTTTCTCCACAAATGGGTCTTCCAGTTAGAATCCAGCGGGTGAGGCAGCTGCTGTGTGTGCAAATTTCCCAATGCCGAGTTTTTTTTCTGCAACAAGACTATCAAAATCCCAACATTCCCAACTCAAAGGAGGCACAGGCAGCACATTGAGGCAGCACATTGTGTTGCAATCTGCCAAGGATGGCTTGTCCCTTTTCAATGCTCGATTGCAGACGCCGCTGGAACCCAAAGCGCCTCTGATTGCGAAGTTCTCCGAGGTGCGAAGTGGGACACGGGATTTGTTGTCCAACTTGTGTGGAGAAGCTTTCCGATGCTTTCAGATGGTAGGAAGAAACTGATGGACCAGATGAAGACACTTTACGAATATGGGTATAATATGGGTATTTAAGGGCTGCCGCCCCTGCCGCCGACCCCGGAAGAATTGGCAAGCCGTCAGAACGTATATATGGTACAGGCCTGCACCCCCCCCCCAAAAAAAATGGGGAAAGGATGTTCCTGGGACAGTTTTACACGCATTGTTGCCTGTTATGGTTTTTATGTTAAAGGGGAACGTGCGTTCCTTGGTGTTGATGTTTTTTTGTGATGTATGTTGTAAGACATTTTTGGTAAAAACGTTTCATCCTAACCTTGTTGATTATTTTAGGGGAGTATCATTGATTGGGTCAGGATTTGTTGAGGTTGTTAGGGTTTTAAAGTTTTCATTTATTCAACTAAGATTTGAAAAGAAGGGAATGTATCATTAAGATTGTCTATTATTTCTTGATGACTTAACGGTTCTGTCACTTCTTCATTGTTTGATTGTTTTTGCGTTTTTCCATTATCTTTTTGTTTTTGACCGGAATTGTTGGTTTGTGCTCATGGTTTTTTCTTTCCATTTCTTTTTAGGATGGTGTGTCTGCCTAACGTCCCTTCTGAAATCCTAGAAAAACAACCTTTTTCCGAAAACAACTTCGAAAAAAGCATAAAAGCAGCTCCCGGCAGGAAAACACCATGGCTCTGAAGGACGAACTAGTTCTAAAACCATGCCAAAAAAGTGCCTAACGTCCCGTCTGAAATCCTAGAAAAACAACCTTTTTCGAGAATTTCTGTTGCCTGCGGCCGCTCGCAGGAAAACAACTTCGAAAAAATCACCTCCCGGGGGGGAAAACACCAGGGCTCTGAAGGACGAGCGAGGGCCAGAACCACGCCAAAAAAGTGCCTAACGTGTCGTCTGAAATCCTAGAAAAATCTAGATTAGATTTTTGGTAGGCTGCTGGCTACTGGCTGCTGGCTACTGGCTGCTGGCTGCTACTGGCGCTGGCTGCTAGCTACTGGCTATGTGCACCTTTTGCGTGCTCTTGCCCACGTTCTTGACACCCATTAGTGCCATCCTAGAAAAACGCAATTTTTCGTGCTGCTAGCTGCTGCACTGCTACCATTGCGCTTACTGCTGCTGCGTCTACTTGTGTCTGCTGCTGCCTGCTGCTGCCTGTTGCCTGCTGTTTGCTGCTGCCTGCGGGCAGCTCCCCTTTGCGTCGGCCGGTCCCGTCTGAAATCCCAGAAAAACAACTTTTTTCGAGAATTTTTGTTGCCTGCGGCCGCTCGTAGGAAAACAACTTCGAAAAAAGCAGCTCCCGGTAGGAAAACACCATGGCTCTGAAGGACGAACTAGTTCCAAAACCACGCCAAAAAAGTGCCTAACGTCCCTTCTGAAATCCTAGAAAAACAACCTTTTTCGAGAATTTCCGTTGCCTGCGGCCGCTCGCAGGAAAACAACTTCGAAAAAAGCAGCTCCCGGCAGGAAAACACAATGGCTCTGAAGGACGAATTAGTTCCACAACCACGCCAAAAAAGTGCCTAACGTCCCGTCTGAAATCCTAGAAAACAACCTTTTTCGCAGGAAAACAACTTCGAAAAAGGCAGCTCCCGGCAGGAAAACACCATGGCTTTGAAGAACGAGCTAGTTCCAAAACCACGCCAAAAAAGTGCCTAACGTCCCGTCTGAAATCCTAGAAAAACGACCTTTTTCGAGAATTTCTGTTGCCTGCGGCCGCTCGCAGGAAAACAACTGCGAAAAAAGCAGCTCCCGGCAGGAAAACACCATGGCTCTGAAGGACGAACTAGTTCCAAAACCACGCCAAAAAAGTACCTAACGTCCCGTCTGAAATCCCCCGGCAGGAAAACACCATGGCTCTGAAGGACGAACTAGTTCCAAAACCACGCCAAAAAAGTGCCTAACGTCCCGTCTGAAATCCTAGAAAAACAACATTTTTCGAGAATTTCTGTTGCCTGCGCCCGCTCGCAGGAAAACAACTTCGAAAAAAACATAAAAGCAGCTCCCGGCAGGAAAACACTATGGCTCTGAAGGACGAACTAGTTCCAAAACCACGCCAAAAAAGTGCCTAACGTCCCTTCTGAAATCCTAGAAAAACATCATTTTTCCGAAAACAACTTCGAAAAAAGCATAAAAGCAGCCTCCGGCAGGAAAACACCATGGCTCTGAAGGACGAACAACCTTTTTCGCAGGAAAACAACTTCGAAAAAAGCAGCTCACGGCAGGAAAACACCATGGCTCTGAAGGACGAGCTAGTTCCAAAACCACGCCAAAAAAGTGCCTAACGTCCCGTCTGAAATCCTAGAAAAACAA